GGAGTTCCTTTTCTTCGCTTCCTTCGATATGTACAGGTTGTTATTTGTGATGTGGCTCCTGCGAAACTAAATCCTGTATCGCTGTCGCTTATAGATTAGAATCATTCGCTCTTCTCCCAGGCGGAGAGGATGGTCGAGTGTTGAGGTTGATACCCGTAAGTTGTTTTCAACACCCAATATATATGCTTTCCACCCCCAGGCAAAATCGCTAATCCACGGTGGTGAACTATTTGCAACCTAGGCATCCCGTCCACCGCCATTTTCACTTTCCACAAGGAGGACCACGCGCGGGGGGGGGGGTTAGATGAAAAATGATGCGTATACATATATATCCCGGGACGCGCTTGGTATATGATTATACACTTCAACCACACGGATGTATTTGATTTTTCGCTTCTTTCTGTCCAATGTGGATATCCCATTTCCAATTATGATATTATTGATTATCTAACTTTATATGTAGAGTTATATGATATATATGATAAAATAAGGAAGGGAGAAAGAGAGGGGTGGGGGAGGAGGGGAGAAACAAAAGACAATGCTATTTTTCATCAAGAAAAAAACCAAGAATAAAACGGAATAAAAATAATCGATACAACGCAATTTATGGATGGAACAGATCAACAGGAAATCCCGTATATTTCCCCAGCAAATCAGCAACCAGTAGAACCAAAACAAAGAGCAAATGCCAGTAAATAAAAGAACAGGAATTTCAAAATCAACCTGGGCGTATAAGAAATCAGCAAATAACAGGGAAATAAAAGCACTCAGCTTCACGCTCACGTAAATACATCCTCCCAATCCCCTCGCCCCCTTTCTTTCTTTCTCCCCCTTTATATCGGCTGTTTTATTTTCCACCGTTTTGCTCTATCTTCCAATAACCCTCCCCTTTCCTTCCGTCGTCTCGGCTCGCGCCCTCCAGTTTATTCCATGCATGCCATCCCATTTTATACCAATGTCATAGGAAAATCCACCCTAACTTCGATGCGTATAGAACCTTTGCATTTTCTCCTACTTCTCTCAGTCCACAGATACTGCCTAATTCCTATTCCAGTTTCAATCCCAACTCAATCCAATAAATTCACAGCTCACAACGGAGGCGAATGCGAATGCGAATGCGAAAACAAATCCCCCAGCCCGGCCGACATCGTCTTCCTAAATCGCCACCCACTCTTCTTCTTCTCCCGATTCTTCATCATCTCTGCCCACGCCCCTTCTTCATCGTCGTCGTCGTCGTCGTCGGCGTTACGGTGGATGACGTGGACATCGCCGCCCTTCCCACCGTTTATATTCATGTCCATATTCGTACTAACCCTCAACCCGCTGAGGGGTCTCGACCCATTCGTCCCCGGCACATTCAATCCCTCCGTCCCCACCCGCAGCATGTCAATGGCGCTGCCATCGCTATTCAGATTCATGGTTGAGGTACGCGATATCTTCCAGGGCTGTTCCTCCGTCCACGGCCGGAGTGTGGAGGCAGTGAACGTTGACGAGCGCGCCATGGCCTTGTCATGCGGCGGGGGCTGGCTGGTTGAGACGGGGCGGTAGCGTCTGGCTGTGCCGATGTTGCTGCGCTCAGACGGCGCGACCGAGGGGGCATAGCCAGGTTCTGGTCCTAGTGGTGAATTTGGGAAGAAGGCAGATTGTCTATTATTCCATTTGGGATCGAGGAGGCTTAGAGTTCTATGGTCAACTTGTGGGGGTCCTGGGAGGTGGGGTTGGCTGGGGTTGAAGTTGGAGAACATGGATACCGGACGGGGCAGGGAGGGCGGTGGAGCGTTATGAACGCCAGGACCCATGTTCATGGGCGTTTGCATCCCCTGCATCTGCATCATGGATTGCATCCATTGTATCTGCGTCTGCATCATCTGGGTCATCTGTGACACCTGGTCTGGTTGGCCAACAACCGGCTGCTGGCCTGGTGGGGCGCCAGGGACGTTTAGGAATTGTTGTTGTTGTTGCTGTTGCTGCAGCAGCAGCAGCTGCTGCTGGTGTAGAGGCAGAGTATTATTTTGCGGTCCGTTCATGTTCATCGCGAGCAAGCTTCCGGGAGGTGCATCATATCCACGAGGGGCATTCGGGCTCCCTCGTCTCATGGCCTTGGCGCGCTCTTCATTTGCGATTACGCCAACTAGTCCGCCAGGTGGTAGGCCAGGTGGTGCGCCGAAGACCGAAGGAGTGCCTCCACCCATAGCCAGGGATTCCCGGTGAGAAGGGTTTACAAGACTAGCGCCGACGTTATACGGATCACGGGGAAGATTTCGAGCAAACACCGGGAGACTGGCACGAGCCGTTGGCGTTGTTGCTACTGGGGACTCGGCGGCGACAGAGGGCGGACTCGCAGCAAACGACTGCATCGATGCGCGAAGATTAGGATTTGAAATCGACGGGGTGAGGAGTCCGGGTGGTCGAGTTCTATTGGGGAAACCGTGCGCCGCCAGGATGGCAAGCGGTATATCATCGTCCTCCCCATCGTTGACTTTCCCGGTGGTCAGTTGCTCTGGTGACATGAAAGAAGACGTTCGGTTTATATTGTTCAGCAGACCTGGTGGACTGGCATTATCCACGTCGTTCTGCTGAGAATTGCGCAACTTGGCTGCCTCCCCTGTAACTTTCATCATTTGCTGCCTGTACACCGAGAGATGGGCCTCCTGCTTCTTCCTTTGCTTTGTAGCCTCGCGAGCCTTCTCCACCTCATCCTCTTCCTCGTCATAATGATCGCTATCGTCGTCATCCGAATGACTAGTGCTGGAAGCATTACTTTCTTTCATCGTCATCTCCTTCTGCTGTCGATACCGCTCGAACTGCGCTGGAGTCATGACCTTCGGAGGCTGATGCCCTTCGGAGTTGCTAGCATTTTCCTCATATCGTTCAGCTAAACTAGCCTCGGCAGCCAATGCAGCTACAAGGTGAGCGTCGTCGTGGGTGTCGTTATGAGGGTCTGCGTCCTGTGGAGTTGGACGATGGGTGATCTGTTTCGCAGCATTACGCTGCTTCCATCTGCTCCCTGAGAATGGTAGAGAGCTAGGAGTGTCACCGTCAGGTGAAAATTCGGTAGTCATCCGTCTTTGTGCAGACACGGAATTATTAACAATCTTCGCGTCCTCATCTTCAACATCAGCAGCGCGGCTAAGCTTTACCGTACTTCTATAGTACCTAGAGCTGGGACCAGAGTTGTACGTCGGCGATAGACTACCGTTGGTGCTTGGCAGGACTGAGGTTCTTACCCGAGAGGCGGGCGGGCGGGATAATATAGGGTCGTCTTCTTCCCTACTCATTAGACGGTCTCGTGAATTCTGGCTGTCATTAGTATGAGGGGAAGGTTCAACATCTTTCGAGGACACAAATTGTAGGGGAGGAGGATGATTCTGAGAGCCTTTTGTAGGTATTAATGGGGTTACCGATGCGGACTCCTAGTTTGTGGCCAGTGTGACGTTAGTGGCATTTCCGACATGCTAACTCAAGAAATTGAGCATAAAAACAAGAAAAAGAAAGAGAGAGAGAGATAAATAAATAATAAAACCTACCCGGCGAAGGGAACTCTGTAACAGGGGAGCCGCCGGCTGTTCTTTGTGGTTTTCCTTCTCCTTGTCGAGTCCATCAAACATATTCCCGAAACTTAACGCGTCACCCATGTCCAAGTTTGTATCTGGTAATCTGGGAGGGGTGGCAGTGCTTGTAGTACTGGCCGTGGCCGCACTCTCTCTGGTCGCTACGGTCCCTCTAGACCGAGGAGTGACGACGTCCTGGCGTTGGAGCGACTTGGCCGAAGAAGATTTGTTTCCGAAGGAAAAAGTGCGACCAGAGGATCGAAGGGAGAAGAAGGAAGAATCATGCATTGGGGGGACGGGGACATCTTGGATGGGGATATCGGTGGAGCTTGGTAACGTGGACGAGGAACTAAACTTTGCGGAGGAAGCAGAGCTATCGTACAAACGACCAGTGGAGGCAGAATAATTAGTGCCTCTGCTCCCACCGAAACCAGTCAATTTCGAGACCCGTGTCCCTCCACCACGTAAGGGATCTGCTGTGGGGGGGAGGCCAGGTTCAACATACCGGTTTTCCACAGAAGAGGGCGGGTCGATGTTTGCAAAGAGGTTGTTTGCGTACGGGTCTTCCGACGAGCGTTTCGTACGGCTGCTGTTGCTGTTGCTGTTGCCGTCGATGGAGTTTAGAGTGGTAGATCCATCGAGGGACTTCCTACCGGGAGCAGGACGCTCGAAGACCTTGAAGGAAGGCCGGCGGGCCTGGTCCAACTCTTCCAGGGCATTTCCAGAAGATTTCCGCCGAGCGAAGCCTTTGGGTAGCTTGATCGGCATGGAGAAAGGGGCGGGGGAACCTTGCTAGATCTTGAGGAGAGGCGGGGGGAAGAGGTGGCCCGAAATATAACAACACAAAGACCCTCTCGAGGCGCTGGCTGGCTGGCGTGGGTGTAGATCTGTATCTTCCTTTCCCGGTTCCCAACTCAATTCTCATGTGGCGGGAAATCCAAGGTGCAACAAAAAAAATAATTAACTTTCAGATGCCGCGAACCACTGAGCCAGTCGAAGCGAATGGAAGGCGGATAATCAATTTACACCGACATGGGACAAAGAGAAGTTGATGGACGGCGGATCTATGCATGAAGGTATAATAATAGCACTGTTTGTTAGAAGGCATGCAACGCGAGATCAAAATATATATAGATAGAAAAGGCGTAGGAAAAAAAAAGAGTCGTTTGTCATGAAGGGAGCTTGGTCGTAAACAATGCCAAAAATTTAAATTTAAATATCCTTCTCACACTGCGTCTCTCCTTTTTCTTTCTTTCTTTCTTTCTTTTTTTTTTTTTTCCACTTCTGTTTTCGACATAGAGGGAGAGGGAGAGGGAAAAAGAAGGTTCAACAGGGCAAAGGATATACACACCTCTAGTCTCTCTTTGTCTGAGGTCCCCCCTCGAAGGACAGAGACAGCTCCCACAAGCTACTCACAGTGGTGGCATAGAAGACGGCCAGGTAGACAAGTCCGTAAGATGACAAAACAGTATTGCTGGGTACACGGACGAAGAGCAGGAGGTAGGACGAAGGCGTCGATCGAGAGAGTCGAGGGAGCCGGTGGGCGGGGGGATACTATGCTTGTACGAGCGAGTGATCGGGACGCGAGCCCTCAGCAACCAATGGGAGGGGAGGGAATGAAGAACAAAGTGAAGGAGAGGGAATGACACGAAGAGAGAGAAGATGTAAAGTGTAAAGAGAGAGAGAGAGAGAGAGAGAGAGAGACTGGGAGGGAGAAGTGAAGCAGAAGAGAAGAGACGATGTCGCTGTCGTTGACGCTGGATCTGGTGCGTGGTCTGCCAGTCACCTGCCCCAGGCTCAGATAACGCAGACTCGGCTGGCTTTTGCGGCTGCCAATGGGCCAGGCGCCGGTTCTGGGCCGATCCAGAAGAGGAAATCCATATGGCGATTATTTACTCTTATTCTTCCATATTCCATCAATTCGTTCAGTTGGATTCCATCCATTCAATTCAGTCAATTCAATCCATGGAGATGAGTACAGAGTATTCTGTACAGTACACGCAGGACACGGCCATCCCCCCTCTCCCTCCTAAACCCCCTCCTCCTCCTCCTGTTCTTCTTCTTCTCTCGGGTGGCAAATGTCTCTGCCCACTAGCCGGCACCAGGCTGAGCCAGCATCCGTGACAGCGCCAGATCGAGAATGGATGACTCGGAGATGTTCAGATTCTGATGTCGCTCGTCCTCGGTGAAATTCATCTCTCCGCCAGGGAAAACAAAACCCACAGAGCGAGACACTGGCATCCCGCCACTCTCCACCGTCTCCAGCCCCGGCGCTTGTCTGTTGACGACATTGTCTGAGGTAACTTATATGATCTGTAGTGTTTGTTGTATGATCGCCAGGCCTGGCCTGTTTCAGTGAATGCCCTGCTTTGCTCTGCTTTGCTCTGCTTTGCTCTGCTTTGCTCTGCTTTGCTCTCTCTGCTCTTCCTTCCACGCCCTGAGTTTTTTCTTTTCTTATTCTTATTCTGATTCTTATTCCCATTGTTATTGTTATTATTATTATTATTAGCGCTGCATCCACCTCACACCTGAACTGCTGCATACTCGATCATATTTTTCCTTCTCGGCAAGCTGCCACGGGGATGCACTCGCTCTATTTTATATCCCTCCTCCTCTCCCTCCTCCTCTCCCTCCTCCTCCCTCCTCCTTCATCAGCAATATTGCACTGCTTGCCGCCGTAGCTACCACATAGTACAGCGTACTACAACCATTTAACTCCAAACTAACCGCCCCTAACGAGTTCCCTCCCCTGCGAGTTGAACTACTCGTACTAGTCAACCCCCTCCGTCGAAACTCTGATGCACGCGAGTTGTGATGCCGGAGCCACTCGATGAACGGAGGCAGAGCTCCCGATCAGTCGGATCGGCGCGTTCTTCCCCCTGTGGAGTCGCCCAGCGACCCACAGCGCTTCGTTTGACCATGCCATAGTGCGAATCTACTCCGTATAGTTCCTGAGAATAAATAGGGACAAAACGGACTCTGCTACTAACTTCTTCGTGTAGCACATGTCAATGGATCAGGCCCATCGACAGGTCCATTCCATCCACGCCCCCTGATTTTATTTATTTCTTCTGTATTAGTGAAGAAAAGAGCAAAAAACATGTATCTATGTAATCTGTATATATATAATTAATACTCCATACATATATACGTCTGTTATTTATGACATGACACAATGGGGATTATAACAAAAAGAAGAAAAGGAAAAGGAAAGTGCTTCAAATTTTCATATACTAAGTCCAGGAGGACAGAGGAACAAATCAACGATTTCATCGATTCTTTTCAAGAGTCAAAAATCAAATTTTGAAACAGAATTGTTGACATTCAATGGAGAGAGAGGAAAATACAGTGCAGTATATACCTAGGTAACAGTGCGTTGTGTGGAAAGAAGATCTAAAAGATTAACTTAACTAACCCTGGGTGCAAAAACCCGAACCAATTCTCTCACTTTGAACGTTTATTTATACAATGATATGAATCTTCAGGAAACAAAAATAAATAGACAAAAAAAAAAAAAAAAAAAAAAAACGGGGAAAACCACTCTCAATCCCTAACCAACACATATTTTCAAATCTACCTCCCTAGCAGACAACAGCAATGGGAGCCCCAGCCGCCGACGAACATTCCGCTTCATATAGAACCAGATCGAGCGCTGGAACTTCAGCTCCCAGCTCTGAAGCAGGCAGTGGAACGACGTATACTTTGCCTCGTCGCGGATGTTGTCGCAGTACACTTGGCGCGCTATCATCGGTCCTACTGCGAGGCCGAACTCGCGCGTCTCAACCACTGGCAGCCCGGCGGGGAGGAGCGCCTCCCAGTCTTCCTCGTCGTTTCCGGCTCTGTCGTTGTCGTTGTCGTTGTCGTTGCCATTCCTCTCCTCATCCGCCGCAGATGCAAATGCAGACGCAGACTCACCCGCTGACTCCAACCGGCGCCGCTTTGCCGCGTCGTTCAAGCAGACGGCCACACAGTGCATGTCGCGCAGGACATTCGTGCTCCGCAAGCCCAAGAACTCCGGGTACTTGTGCATGATGCGGCGGACTTCCTTCTCGAAGCTCGACTCGCTGCCGTCGCGCGCCCATTCGCGCAGCGTCTCGCGCCGCATGAGGTCTGCCGTCGTGCTGCCCTCCGCGTACGTCCAGAGCAGCGTGTGCATCCAGTAGTACTCAAACGCGTCCCTGCGCTCGAGTTCGCTGCGCGCGGATGCGGATTGTGCGGCCCTGTCGCTGCCTCTGCGCTTGCGTTTTTTGTTGGCGTTGTCGCTGTGGCTCTCACCGTTGCTCTCGCGAACAAGCTTGACCAAGCCGTCGATGACGTCCCAGTCCATCAGCTCCGCGAGCTCCTCGGAGTATGTCTCGACCCGCAGCGACGCGAGGTTGCGCAGGGTGCAGAAGGGGAGGATGGGGACGTCGTGGTCATGTTGGCAGGTGGAGCCGGAGAGGGAGGGCGTGTAGGCCTTGCTGGGCCACTCGAGGTTATCGATCCAGTTCTGCCCGTCGCTCTCGCGCTCCAGCAGGCGGATGAGCATGTGCTTGATCTGCGTGCCGCCGCTGAACAGGCTGACCAGGCCGCGGACTTTCCTCCACAGGCAGAAGAGTTCGCCGATGTCGTTCGGGTCCGGAGAGGGGATGTTGGCGACCACCTGGTCGAACTTGTGGAATGCGACGCTGCCGAAGCCGCATGCTCGGGCGCTGGCGACGCTCTGCAGGGTCCAGGAGGCGGGGCATGAGTTGGCTGTGACGTCGAGGGCGCGATGTCTGCGTCTGAAGAAGACGGTGCAGAGGTTGTTGGAGCTGGGGTGGTAGACTGGGTCGATATTGAACTCCAGTTTACCGCCGCGGTAGATCACTTCGTCGATCTCGTCGTGCAGGTAGTGGCTTGCACGGAGGACGCTGAGATCGGTTTTGTGGTTGCCCATGTCTTGAGCTGGAGACGGGGCGAGTTCAACCCAGATCTGCTCACGCAGCTCGTATGGGAGCCTCGCGAACAGTCCGAGGTTGGGCATTTCTCCACCTGAAAAAAAAAATTTTTTTTCTGGGTTGGGGGGAAGGTGTGTGGTGGGTGCTGATGTTTTCTGGTCTCGGGTATTTGTGGAATAAATAGCCTTGAATGCTCTTGAGGCCTGTATGGAGGATATTGCGTTTTATATTGCGTTTTATGGATGTATGGATATGTGTATGTACTTTATGTACTTTATGTAGTATATATGTCTTGGTTTGAAGGAACTGTTATTTTAATTCGTGGGAGGCAGGCAGGTATTTTCGAGCAGGCTGGTTGTATATATGTTTGTCGGCTTTAGTAGAACGAAAGTACAGTTATCTCAGGAAAAGCTTATGTACATACCAGCAGGAAGGCAACAAAAAAGCCCATGGGCAGTTTGTATGGAGAGCGTTGTAAGAAGGAAAAGAGAGAGAAACCACAGGAAAACCCACAGGAGGACCATTATATAGCCCGTTCGTGGGAGTCTATTTATCCTTTACTATTACAATGACGCAAAAATTCAACGTCGGGGGAGAGCTTGTATATAGAGTTTGATGCGGTCATGGACGTTTGGTCTATTTGTCTATTTTCGCAAGGGAAGGCTTCCCCCTTGAAAGCTACCGAGTTTTCAACATCTCTATTTGACTTTGGGTCCCCCCGTACAGAGAGAGAGAATGACGAAATTTTTGCCGGGTGGGAGAGCGCACGCTCTGGGTGTGGCGGTTGGGCGGGTATATTGGTATGGGAAAAGGGGGGTTTTGCGGGAATGAATGAGTGAGAGGTAAGAAGTAGGAGCATGATATCAGCAGCAGTAGAGTAGAATAGGCCAGCGTTAGATAGGGTAATCTACCTATCGTATTATTTATTCTATTATATGCCACCAGATATGAGTGGAAAATCCCATTTACCAAAAAAAAAAAGGCCAGTACAAACCGTAGTGAAGGCACAACCACCGATATAAGTCCTAAGCAGCCCGACATGAAACGAAAGACTCGACACTCGACACTCAAGGCAGTCAGTGCGTAAGCGCTGCAACTACTATCGTATATATCTGTCGGGCTAGCGCCGTCAAAGTCGCGAAATGCCGACGTAGAAACCCCCTTTACCCTGCACTAGTATGCTGGCTGGACTACTCGGAACACCTGCGCACGACGCAAATATCAAGGCGCTGGGGCTTGTAGGCACCTTTTGTTTTTGGATTTGAAGAAGCCGTCAGGGTGGGAGAGCTGGCATTCGTATCTAGTGCGGATATCAATGAGATATACGTTTCGACGACAGTTCGCAGACAATGTATCCGGCGTGGTTGACTAATACTTGATATATGATAATAACAACAATGATATAGATATATATACACCTTCCTTGGTAATATACATTGGGCCCCTTTGGGTGCACTTGCTCTTGTTTGGTCGCTGCCTTGTGCAGGCCAAACAGCCCCGGCGTCCGTAGGGAAGCAGCGATCAGAGAGCATACTTCAGTCCGCGTGGTGGAAGTATGAGTAATGATGTGTAGCCCAAAGAGAACGAAGGGATGGAATAATGGGGTGCGGACGCCAGGGTTGAGCTGCGAGGGAGACACAGAGCCTACATTTAACCGCAACGCTTTATCCGGCTGAGTTCCAGTCTGACGAGCCTCGTCAAGCCCTAATACGGGAGAGAGATAAGCTGTGCCAACAGGGGATTTATCACAGGGGTCTCAGACGATCACACCGGGTAGCCTGCTGTAAAGGAGTTTGTTTGGCGGGTGATTTATATTAGGATAGTTGGATCACAAAGAGATCGGACAACTATCACTATTGCAGGGCCTTGAGCTAATAGTTAACATACATGAGGCTATGTCCGAAGTAAATAGACCAATCAGCCAGGTCACTTTAGGATATATGGTAAGCAGGCAATCATCAGAACGAAGTGATGGGATCCAAGGGTATGAGGCTTGGTAACATATAGTAGAGAAAGATGACCAAGGGGTAAAAAAAAAAAAAGTGGTATGGGAGGAGAGAGCTCCCCAGACCCTCTCAGGCCTATTGCAAAAGTTTGTCATAAAAAGCCATGGAAACTTCTTGAGGATATATCGACAGATACGTCGGATACACACAATCTCGAAGCATAATTCGTCCAAATTCTAGACAAGGCAAGCATATCTATAACACACTCACGCCAGCAAACCTCAAAACATCTGGTCAACAACCTTCATGGTATCCTGCTGCACTGTAGTATGGTGGGCATTCAACCCCCCAATCAGCGCAACGCCAGGAGGAATACTCACATCTCGAATGCCAAAACAGGCAAACGCAATAACCTTCCTTAGTGCAGGGCAGGATTTGAAGATGGAGAGGACAAGAAAATCATCCGCAGACGTGTGGAACGAAATGTCAAACTCCCTCAAACAGGGATACTTGTTGCGGGTCCCATCGAAGGCAGCAGATAATGAGGTATGCGAGATGTGTCGGCATGAGCAGATGTTGAGAGTTTCGAGGTGCTTCCCTGAGTGGTTCATTAGCGCTTGAAAGCCTGCCGAGGCGAGTCCGACAGGGTCTTCGGGGCCGTTGGGATTTGCGTTGTCCACATCACGGGTGCCAGAAACATCCACGTATGTGAGAGGTGGGTTCTCCCAGTCAGTGAAGAGGAGCGCGAACGCCGTATCGGTGCAGATGCAGTTGTCCGAGAAGCGTAGTTTGGAAAGCCTTCTGCAGCGCTGATGTATCATATCCAAGACCGTGTCGTCGGCGTTTTTGAAGCTGCTGAGCGACAAACTCTGAAGATTAGGTCCAAGTCTATCGACTACCTCCAGCAGCGCTGCTGCAGATGTCTCTTTGAGAAAATCCAAGGACAAGTGCTCTAGGTTGGAAAGCGTCGAGATGGAACTGAGTGCATCGTCGCCTAGTAGCCAACAGGTTTTGAGCTTTAGGCGACGCAAGTTCGTGCAATGTTTAGCCATTACGGAGATCGACTTGTCATCCAACGAGTAGTCCAAGTTGGATAATTTGAGGCTTTCAAGCTGCGATCCGTATGTTTTGAACAAATTCTGCCAGCCTTCATTTGAAATAAGGTTGGATGCATCGAGATGGATATGTTTTATGAATTTATTGTGATTCATCATGTACTCGAGCTGCTTATCTTTCAATTGACCCGCAAACCGTAGGTTTACCCTTTCAAGGTATGGCGTGGTAGCAAAGATTTTATGAAAATCGTCCTCTTCCAGTTCTATACTCGTGTTAGCCAGATCTTCATTTCTACTATTAAGAACAGGAGGGGAAAACATACTGCCACAATCATATATATCAATGGCGGTGACATCACCACGGAGGAACAGGTCCAGAGTTAAAGACGTCAATGCCCGTCGCTTGGACAAAATGTGGCTAATGCTCAGGATAAGATCAGGAGGGAGATCACCAAATTCATCAACATCGGTGATATGATCAGCAACTTTCTGTGGAGTAGCACATCAATCAGTACACCAGCTCTGGGGCAAGAATCACGGGATAGATAGATGGAGTGCAAGCGTACTTTAATGCAAGTCTCAACAAGGCTTGGAGCGCCGGATTGGACAATGCCATCCAGGATCTTGCTAACATTCTGACGCCGGCTCCGTTTGTTTTTATTTACAAGTGACTTTTTGCTTTGTCGGTCCCGAAGCTCTTCTCGTTTTGAACAAGGAGGACACAGAAGGCCACCCTTCGATCCTGATTTAGAATATGAAGTGACAGTGAAGCGCTTTTTGCAATATTCGCAATTCTCAAGCTGACCAGGAAGCAAGCTGCCGGATTTCTTGCCACTGGCCATGGAATTAAAGATCCTTGCATCGCCATCTTGTTTGGCTTGCTCTTTCTTTTGCTTCGCGGCCTTAATCGCTTTCAACGCGGCCTGTGATTTGCGCTTCCGTGTTCCTGTGCTCTCCACGGGTTCATCTGGCATTTCCTCATCGAGCTCTGCGTCTCCCTGATCGTTGGTATTGCTGTATTCAGTGCCATTTGCTTGTTCCTCATTTTCCTGGGCTTGCCTCAGGCGTTGCTCGTAGTTACTACGGATTTCTGCTGCAGAGATATTGTTGGACTATAATAATAGGGGGAAATTTAGTCAATCCATCTTGAAAAAGTACATCTCTCCAAACAAATACAACCAGATATGGGGTAGAGCATACAGCAAGGAAATCCGTCAGGGCCGAATGCCTTGTGAGGAAATGTCAAGTTAGTAAATGCCTGATCCCAAGTGCCGGTCAGAGCATTTGAATCACTTACGGTCCCCGAATGCTTGAACGCTGCGGTCTTTGCGCCCTTCCAGTCCGTCAGCAACAATTCTCAGTGAGCCCAACAAGCACACCACCACCAGACAAAGGGTCACATACATGCTGAATATCGATAGATGTCCAGTATCTGTTGTTCTCTGTCTCCTGTCCACGGGTCTGCTCTTCCTCTGGCTGCCTGCCCTGAAAAGGGTTTAATTGAAATTCTTCCACGTGACTTCGTGCCTCGTGTGCCGCCCTGGAACGCGTTGCTTCAGGAACGAGTGCAAAAACGAGAAGAACTTAGAACGTAGGCAGAAATTGGGGACGGATGCACTGGCGGCAACACGATGAGTCATTGGCCTGTTCGTATTCAGTAAGTTGTGCGGATTGTGGGAGAACTAACCAGAAATCCTGCTACCAGCGGAGCAATCGTCAATCTTGGCCAACTCACGTTGACCCGACTGGCTGCCTGAACTTTGTGTGAGGTTTCCAGGGGTGAGCGTTGGGCCGTGATAACCACTACAGAGACTTCACTGGCCATCACCAGCATCGTGCCATTGTGTTATTGTCCGTGTGAAGTGAACAGCTTCCTCAGCTCTGAAGCCAATCATAGTTGCCTCTCCATTCACCTTGTATCGTGGAAGTTCAACCTTTTCATCTCTACACAGGCGCTTGCAAGTCTCAGGCCCGCTTGCATTTCATTGAATCCTCGAGCCAATCTCGACTTGACATTGAGAATTCAGCTACCTGGCTATTCTGTGTGCTTGTTGTTGGACACCATGGCCAACGACCCTCCGTCCGAAAGGGCCATACCCCCAGGCCTTGCTAACAGTGAGTGCAAATTTGAATTTTCCAAAATTGGATGAAACTAACCATCAGGTAATGATATCAGACAAATACTCGGCCTCGTTGAGAAAAAGAGGCCCAGGCCAGCGAAGCCGATCCAGCTTAAATCCCTCTGTTGCGAACTCTGTTTCTAGCGATGGTGACGACTCCATTGACGAACTCCTGAAAGCTCCTCGCAAGAGAGCGAAACCGTCGGGTCAGGTTCTTACCCCCAATAATGGTAACAAGCCAGCAGTCATGGTTGAAGTGTCGATAGGACCAAAACTCCCATTTACTTCCCCTTCGTCCTCAACAGATGCGGGTGGTATTAGCACGACAAACGGAGACACTACACCTGCCACAACTGCAAATGTTACCCCAGCAGAGCCTGCCAATCCTAACAAAAAACGAGTCAACGCAACAGCCCGTTTTCTTGAATTGCGGTCAAGTACATTGGGTCTAATGGGTTCGAAACGTGCTGCCAATTCTATGAGTACGGATGCGTCACCTGATGAAAGCGCAGATGAAAACTTAGCCCGTGCTCTTCAAGCAGCAGAGTACAGTAAAAATCCTAACCAAAATCTGAGATATTCCGGCGGCAGAAGGCGTTCATTGCGACCAAAATTGGTCGCTCCTTTTTCAACTAACCGCAGGGCTAGTCAACGATCTCTTGCGCTTGCCTCCACCAGCACCCGTGGAAAGTTGAGGGCAGCAACACTGAGAGATAATATCCCAGACAGCGAAGAGTCTTCTTTATCCGAATTAGACCCTTTGGCCAATGCAGATACCGGTGACTCTGCAACCGAGTGTTCTTTGAGTGATGAGGGTTTTAGTGAAGGGGATGCTACTGATGGAGATGCTAGTGATCCAGATTCTAGTGATGGAGCTTCTGGTGATGGAGATTCTTCTGTTATGACTACCAGACGTCCACGACGCGCAATTACAGTTTCAAGGCATCCCAACCCTCGGATTCGATCGCGGAACGCAGAAGAATCACGAGTAACTCCACGTGTAAGGGATTACCTTCCTACCTAGAGCTTTGGTCTTAAGCTAACCAATCTATAAGACTATCCGGGAACGCAGAAAACTCGAGCAACAGCATCCAATTATCAAAACGATGTGGGATGATCTTAAAAAATCCCCCATGATCACTCTCACCCCAGCCGTACAACCACCAGGCATCTCCCGAAAATTGAAGTCATTTCAGCTGGAAGGGTTAAATTGGATGATACAACAAGAAAAGTCCCAATGGAAGGGCGGACTCCTTGGTGATGAGATGGGAATGGGAAAAACGATCCAAGCAGTCTCATTGTTGATGTCTGATTACCCTGTTGGCATACCCTCATTGGTTGTCGTACCCCCTGTTGCTCTGATGCAATGGCAGTCTGAGATCGAAGTACGTTCAAAACTCATAATTTCTAATCCGAGAACCTGCTAATTCTGGGCTTGCTAGCAATATACGGACGGTAAATTGAAGGTGCTTATCCATCATGGTTCTAACTCGAAAGTCAAAAATCTTTCAGCGAAGCAGCTGATGGCTTACGACGTGATCATGATATCCTGTAAGCCTATTCACCACCTGCGAAAATTTTGACTCATTACTAATGTTTTTCGATAAGATGCTGGACTTGAGTCTATGCACCGGAAGGAAGTAAAAGGATGGAAAAGAAACGACGGTCTCGTGAAAGAAGACAGTATGTGCTCTCAGGTCCATGCTTCTTCTCATCAGAGTATCCGTCCTAACTTTTGTAGGCGTCATTCATTCTATTCATTTTCATCGTCTGATTCTCGACGAAGCTCATAACATCAAGGTAAAGAGGCTCTTCATAATCGATTCCAACATATTTACCCACTAACTTTGTCTCAAGCAACGTACCACTAGTGTAGCAAAAGCCTGCTTTGCCTTGAAGTCAACCTACAAATGGTGCCTCTCTGGTACTCCAGTTCAAAACCGAATCGGAGAGTTCTTCTCGCTCCTGCGATTCTTAGAGGTTAAGCCGTTCGCATGTTACTTTTGCAAAGTATGTCCATGTCAGGAATTGCATTGGTCACAAGATGCGGAAAAGAGATGTACACATTGTTATCATAGGTACGCTAGTTAGCCCAAACCATCTCATCGTGAACGCGTTTAGAATCTGACCTCCTGCAGTGGTTTCAGTCATGTTTCTATCTTCAATCAAGAGATTCTCAATCCAAGTAAGTGATCCGGATCATAGAGCAAGGAACTGGTTAACATGAGTCTAGTTACCGAGTCGAGACGCCCTGCCGATCGGAAGGCTGGCCTGGAAAAGTTGAGATGTATCACTGACAGGCTTATGCTTCGTCGTGTTAAGCAAGACCATACAGCTTCGATGGAACTCCCACCCAAGCGGTAAGAAATAATAGTGTTGACTTAATATGGCTACAAGTTATCGCTAATATGTATATTAAGGGTAATACTTCACAATGAATTCTTCGGGGAAATTGAACGCGACTTTTCCACTAGCATTATGACCAATACTGTTCGGCAATTTGACACATACGTCAGCCGGGGCGTTATGCTCAACAACTACGCAAATATCTTCGGTCTGATCATGCAGATGCGTCAAGTAGCAAATCACCCAGACTTGATTTTGAAGAAACATGCCGAAGGCGGTCAAAACGTCATAGTTTGCGGCATCTGTGATGAACCTGCGGAAGAACCGATACGCTCTCGTTGTCGACATGAATTTTGCAGACAGTGTGCCAAAGATTATATTCGCTCCTTTGAAGTCGGGACAGAACCCGATTGCCCACGCTGTCATATCCCGCTTTCTATCGACTTCGAGCAGCCAGATATCGAACAGGAGGATGATCAAGTCAAGAAAAACTCCATCATCAACCGTATCAAAATGGAAAACTGGACATCATCGACGAAGATCGAAATGCTCGTTTACGATCTTTTCAAGCTACGCAGCAAGAAGCGGACGCACAAGTCCATTGTTTTCTCGCAATTTACGTCAATGCTCCAGTTGGTTGAGTGGCGTTTGCGGAGGGTGGGTTTTAACACAGTCATGCTGGATGGAAGCATGACCCCAGCCCAGCGCCAGAAATCCATCGAGCATTTCATGAATAATGTCGATGTTGAGGTGTTCCTTGTTTCTCTTAAAGCGGGAGGTGTCGCGTTGAACCTTACTGAGGCATCGAGAGTCTTCATCGTGGACCCGTATGTAATCACGTCACTCCTTGATGTTAAAGCGCTTCCTTGTGCTTCTTTCTAATTTTAATCTAACAATTGACAATTTCTCTAGATGGTGGAACCCGGCAGCCGAATGGCAGAGTGCAGATCGATGTCACCGAATTGGCCAGCGACGACCGTGTGTGATAACTCGACTCTGCATCGAGGATTCCGTGGAATCGCGCATGGTTTTACTCCAGGAGAAAAAAGCCAATATGATCAGAGGCACGATTAATAAGGATCAAAGCGAGGCGCTGGAGAAGTTGACGCCGGAAGATATGCAGTTTCTGTTCCGGGGAAATTGAGAAAGAACGAATTTTGATATACCTCCAGTCAGTGTAGTATTTGGTGATTGTGTTATTAAAATGAACGGCACTACGATGGATATATGTTACTGTATAAACTTGGACTTAGAATTCTGATTTTACATTGTAGTTAGCTAGATCGTGGTAAGAATGCATTCGATGTTTTCTATACGAACAAAACTACATCCAGCCTCAATTCAAAGCTGAAATCCCATGCACGTTCCTCTGATCAAACCCCATCATCACCCCCACATCCTCAAATCACCATAGCCCTACCACCCTCTATCCCCCGTCACGCCCAAAATTAGCCGCCATCCGAGCCAAAGTCGACACACTATCATTATTCCAACTCCACAACAGCAACGAGAGCTTACATCGTGCTCTTCTCGCGACGACGCAACATGGCCATTCTTCTAGCTTTATTCCGATCAAAGAGCAGAATCAACATCTTCCCAAAACACTAGTTTGGGATGCCATACTAGATGGTTGCTGCTGTGCACTGGCATGACGAGAGGTGAAGAGGGGTTGGCGATGCATTCTGTAACTCGATGACCCATTTGAATAATATAAACGGGTGTTCACCAACAGTTTTTACCATCTTCTAACCAACGTTCAGCTTTCCTTTTTTCTCCATTCCACCCACACAGGCGACGGCGACGGCGACGGAGGAAACTCGCCTTGCATGATGCATTATTTTCCATGTTTCCCTGGTCGAAACTCGGTCCCCTGCATGGACCCGTGAATTCCATTCCCTCAACCGTGATATGGAGAACAGAGTAAGCGAGATAATTCGTTTACACAACGCTTCTCTTGTTCCATTCACGTTTCCACTGTTCCTGATATAGCTTGAATCCGCGCGCAGATGACGCAAGCATGGGTGAGATATATGAAGCATCCAAGCTCAATCGCGCGTTACCGCAACAGGCAAGCAGTGGAGCCTCCATGAATGGCTAAAACCACCTTCCAGTTTCCCGCCGAACTCAGCGACGGAATCATGTATGTACTACTCCGTAGCCTGTACAGATCTGCAGTGAAAGATCCAGGTTTGGAAGGTTAAAAAACACCTAATTGACAAGCAAATTCCATCACACAAAGATCATCATTTTTAAGGAATCAGGAGAAAGATGACGCCATTGGGTTTGGAATTCCATATCCACTTTACAAAATGCATCGGTGATACCGAACTTTGATATCGAAAGAATTCAAAGTCTGGATATTGGATTATGCCAATCAATATCTGGCCAACCCTAGTCCAAGCAATGTTTGAGACTATAAATAGACAAACTAGTTGCGCGAAACATTTCCTGGTTCATCATACTCTGTACGGAGTAGAGTCTCCAAAGAAGGCGTTCTGCCATGAGCTCATCTGCATATGAAGGAAGCTTAAGTTTGATGCTCTCAGGCCAGTCCGGTACCTTGAATGAAGTGTAATATGCTTTTGTTAGATCCCAATATTCTGGGTACCAGCCTGCAAGTGCCCAGTCAACAACTCCCACAATTCTGCCATTGTGAATGATAATATTCCGTGGGGCCAAATCTGAAAGTATATTATGGACGCAAACCGTTCTGTCTCTGGAATGGATTCCCCCGCAGTCTTCATAGCGATCTTCCATTCTGAACGCATATCTTTGATGTCCATCATCTACTCGATAGAGCGAGCAGGCCTTTCGTTTCTGTTCCCTACGGCTAGCTGGTGAAGCGCCGTCCGCCATGACGGCTGCAGAAAAACTCAAAGCGAACCTTCCGGTCGCTATGACCATGGAGGCGTTTATGGGCATTTCGTGGTACATCGCTGTTGAATTGAATGTCCGGCTGTTCATGATCTTCAAGTACGTCCGCCTCGAACAGCAAGTTCACTTGTGACCGACGTGCGTGTTGGGAAACTGATCAATTTTCTTTGCTGCCTTGAACAAACAAGGCGAAGGCAAGGCCTGTATTTCTGGAGCTGCGATCTCAGCTCCTGGGGGATTATCCTCCAACCCCTGTGTATGACGCTCTTTGATTTCGGCGTTCTGAAGCAGCCGAGGGTGGCCATGGTCCTGATCTATGCCACCTGGTGGATCATGGTGGTGCCGCAGGCGGTGGTTCTGTACTCGCGACTCCATCTCGTCATCTGGAATTGGCAGCACCTTCGATACGTGCTGTATATGATTATCTTCACCGTGGTTTTCATCTCGATACCAACGATGCTCCTCGGGATCTTTGCGATTGAGTCTCGCCCTCCGATGCTGGATGCTGCAGGAACCATTTAAACTCCCGCACTAACTCTTTGTGGCCTGCAGCAAGCTGGCGAGCGCCCGGACGTGGTACACGCAAACTCAATCTGGGATCGCATCCAGGTCAGCAACAATGAGATTATTGGTGCCAACAGAATGTGCTGTACAGTACATACCATCGAAGCTAACGGAAAGAGGTTAACGGGCTAAATAAGCCCTGGCGGGGAAAATTCGATCAGGGGAGCCTTGCGCTCTGCCTTTCGCGCCATCCGAATTTCTCCGAGCCTCTCGATCTGCGTATCGAAGAGAGGGAATAAATCGATATGGCAACCTGTGAATCAACACGAGTCGACGGACGCTGATGCTGACGCTCAGTTAAAAAATCATGCTTCACAACAATTATGCAAATACTCCTTGGGATTCCAATCGTCAGCTAGGCAGGTCCTCGATTTCCAAGTGTAGTTAACTTTTAACAGAGTTAAATATCTGGGATCAAGCAACGTCTACGGAGTATTTAGGTACTCCGTAGTGCTGATTTACATTGGCCACTCTTGGAACTATGACAGTTCCACCCACCAGCCTCTTTCGCAAAGCTCACGTCTTGCTCGTCGCCAACTCTCCCCTCCGCGCGAACTTGGCCGTCCTTCGAAATTCACCCTACCCTCTTATCACTGTATCCACATTACCCTCAGACAAAGAGAGGGCTACCTTATCAACTGCCAACCGCATCCTCTTCAGCACCAGCAGCACCAGCAGCCGATCAGAAGCTCTGGACCAAAAACAACATCAATGTCGACGTAAAGTCAAGCATACCAATTCCCAAGGGTCAACTGGTATAAACAGCAATCCCGAAATCCCGACCTTCAGCTTTGAAGGGCTAGGCTTGAGTAGGAACATGAAGATGGTAGTGTTAGGGTTAGTCGGAGTGTTCGGCACCGTGGAAACGTGGTTCTGGTGCAAGGCGATATGGAGATGGTGGACGGCACCTGAGAACGTGAGGGATAGTGAATGAGGAGAATATTGGGACGTGGAGAGCAGGTTTCTCCTTCTGAGGAATCAAAGCTGGATATGATCAGATCTCTCTATTATGTGCTAGTACTAGTATGAATGGAAGCTTGGGGGTTTGTTTGGTGCGAGTAAATAGGTGCATGATCAGTGTAAAGTAACACATTGTATATAATTTAATCTCCCTTCTGTAAATACCTGAGAGGTAAAATCGGTTAAACTCAAGTGTGAACCGTGGAAAGTATGTGTCTCAACCTCAGAACTGGGCGGTTTATTGTTTACTCCAATAGCTGCGACAACAGCAACTTGTCGCCAGCCATCACAGATTGTCAGGTCAGTCTGCCTCAGGCGCCGCTCCCGTGTCGATGTCTCACCTGTCCAAGCCTTGTCCCATCGCAGACGTGATTCTTGTGTCGCCTTTTACCTCACCCCTTTTGAATTCTTCTCGCTTCCTCAACATACCCATTCGGAAAGAGAGGAAGATAAACAAGTGCCGCACGCTGTGGGGGAATATGCATTCACCGTTTATGTCCATGAGCGACTCTCTACCGCTCCTTTGAAATATAAGTGTGGCGCACCGGTATTTATCCCACAGACAGGCCGCCGACCAATTTCGAAAACCACACACCTCAATGACCACTATCACCACCATACGCTCGAAGACCTCCACCACTGCTCCAGTGGTGGGTGATATGATTTCGACCGTAGCGAAAAGGACGACGGCGGCGACGACGGCTACAGACTGCCCAAACTGCGGTTATGATGTGTTCCTTGCCGATGATCATGCCCACCACCAGCGCATATCCGAGCTGGAGGCCCAGATCAGGTTTTTGAACAAAAAGTGTGCGGGAGACGGGTAGGTTGCGCATAATCCATGGACTAAATAATCTCTTTTTTCCAAGTTCGCCCATTCTAACTCGAAGCTATTCCTTTCCCAGCGGACAAACTCGCCGCCTATGAGGAAGAAAATCCGTTTGATGCGCTCCAAAGCAAGCGCCGCAAGGCCCCCAACACCAACAACACAACCAACAACCACAATCCAAACAAACTACCCCGACCCTGCCCCCTTCCCAAACAACAGACCATCACATACACCCCGCTTCTCCGCCAACCCCTCAATCGCGCCTAGGCACCTTCGCCTCCCTCCTCCCCTACGGCCGTCGCAACGCCACCACCCCTCCTCCCCAAAACCGCTCCCCAAGCCCCACCTCCACCACCAGGCCGCCGACCTCCCACTCCACATCCTCGCATGCCCCCCAGCCTAGCAAAGCCCTCCAGGATGCCCTCACCCGCGAACAAACGCTGCGCAAAGAGGCCGAATCGCGCCTGACGCAAGCCAACTCTGAGCTCGAAGAGTTGACAGCGCAACTCTTCAGCCAGGCGAACGAGATGGTGGCGCAGGAGCGGAAGGCGCGCGCGAAGTTGGAGGAGCGCGTCGAGGTGCTTGAGCGGCGGGATCGAGAGAAGCGGCGGCGCCTGGAGCGGTTGGAGAAGGCGATTGAGAGGGTCGATCGAGTTCGGGGGATAGTGGGCGATGGGTAGGGGTGGGGGTGATTGAGGAACGGATTGTGCTATTGAGAAGGGCGCGCAGGAGAGTGAGAGTGGGAGAAGGGGAGGGAAGGAGAAAATAGAGGGGGAGTTGGCGTTTGGTCTTGGGTGATAGATGGGTGGATTGGTGCTACAATGGGGGCTTTTCCCCACCACTGTGCTGTTTTCAATGTGTAATAATAACAATCAATGGTATGGATATGGATGTCAGGTGAACTCGTTTGGATAATGGATGAGGCACGAGAGTTTTTTTTTTTTTTTTTTTTTTTTTTTTTTTTTTAAAAAAAAAAAAAAAAACACCGCCCCCACTATTGAAACAGTTTTTGCTCTCTTTTTGGTGGCGAGACTCGTTTACCATCGTTTCTCTCTCATTGCGGTTTGGATATTCTTGGATATTTTATTTCCTGATTTCCGACCTAATAATTCTGTTTCTTACATATCCACCTAGAAGACATTTTACGTCTTGTTTGGTTTGCCCATGTGGGATTTTATTTTTATCCTTCCTGTACGAGCTCTTGGGATTGTTCCATACACATTTTATGACCATGAATTACGATTTCGGGTTATTTAGAAACTCTTTGCTGGTAACGCATAGAAGAAGGGTTGTCTCTCTTATCGAACATCCTAGTGTAATAACTTTGGTGGTTTATTTTTGAACATAGATTCTACCGGTGGAAAAATGGGTACAAAGAAGGAAAAGAGAAGGCCATGTGGGGAGCATGACAAGGAAGTAAAATAGGAGTTGATCTATGTGGGGGTATCCTGCTATAAACACGCATATCGAATGGGAATTGGAAATATGTGGATTGGGAAAATGGGGTGCCAAACGGGTGGGGTATCGATATAATATACAGAGATATATTCAAATGATACAGAAATATTGAGGAGGAATAGGGGTTGGAAGTGGGGGAAAGGCGGCTAGGACACGGACGTGGTAATCTTAAAGGTGGAAGGATAAAAACAGGATAGGGGTATTGGTGAATATGTCTTGCTGTTGAATAATGCGAAGAGATTCCAGTATACGGGGGAATTGAGAAAAGCAGAAAAGATGGACAAGCTGGGCATACAATACAGACGGAGGGGAAATGCCAAAAGTTGGAAGAACATGTTAGGAGCTTTGATAACAAGGGGCTAAGGCAGGAATACCAACCACGCCATAAACCTGAAGAAATGCAGAGTAAGGGAAGAATACTGAAAAGGGAAAAGAGAGATCGAAATAAAATACTATGAGTTTCCTCCATCAACTTCGTTCCCAGCCTTCCAAAAAGCATACTTGCCCAGCGACGGGTCTGCATTCATCGACCACACCAGTGCACAGAGACCTGCCAATAACCCAGCGGCTCCAACCAAAACAGGGCGTAGGCGCGTACCACGTCCAGTCCCCTTTTGTGTTGACAAATCCGATGGTCGCCGCAGGATTCCGGAGGCATAAGTGGGCAATTTATCCTTAATCGAAGATAGGAATCGACTGCCCGTCCTACCGTGGCTGTTGCTGCGGCTGTTGCCAGGCATCTTCCCACTCATCCCCGCTCGTTTTACCTCGATATCAATCTCGGCGACGATGTGACTGCAATGTCGGAAAATATTGACCGCCTCAACGATGATCTGTGCTCGTTCAGAGACGGATAGGAGATTCGAGGCAGAGTGAAGACGTGCTTTGAATTCTTGTTTGATCCCTTCATCATCGTACAAGTCCTTGTCATCGCGGTGAAAAAACCAGAAGGTGAGCCCGTTCGGGATGCCGCTGCCGCTGCCGCCAACATCTTCATTGGATTCCGTGCTCGTCTTCCAGAAATCGTGCCCCCCTGCCGCGAGTTTCGTGCGGATCCGACGCCCACCGTTGAGCAGTATGAGGTACATTATCCATGTGTAAACCATGATGAGGTGAGGATGTTCCGCTGTGGCCGACTTAATGTGTGCTGCAAAGGCAGTGGCGGCGTTGCCGTAGGCATCGTCATCCTTGCTTGACGAATTGTCGTCGCTAGGAGCATCCTGGCTTGAGTCCTCCGCATCAGGCGACCAACCCAACGCGCGCAAGTCCGCTCGTAGTTTCTCGCTGCGTAGCAATTCGGGAATATACAACTGGCTTAGTATGCTTCTGATCCTGCCTCTGTCATCATTTACGAACGAATCCAGAATTTCATATTCATCTGGGCTGCCAGTGCCGCTCACTGATGGTAACTGCGACAGCTGAGAAATCCAGGCTTCTTCAAAGGCGAAGTATATTTCAGCAAAGCGAGATATCCCGAACGCGTAGAGCGCTGGGGTATCTGTGCGTGGCGGAATGCATAGCGGGACGCGCTTGGCAACAAGGCTGCCAAACGAGGTGTGATGCTCCCTGATGTTGCAGTATATTAGCTGGATTTGTCTTTCAGCAGAGTAGGCTGACTTTACGGCGAGCATATACGGGAGAGCCAGTGTTAGACTGAACCCTTCTGATGTATTCTTGGCCTGCCGCCTCATAAAGGATAGGTTTTACCTGATTGCATCGAATATCTCCTTTGAAAGGTCCTCCATAACTCCTTTGCATAAAAGGGTAGACAGCGGTGATAAATCAACAAGGTTGGCTCCTTTGGTATACTTGCGAAAACGAAAGCCTTTTGACCACGGTAGAAATCTCTTGCTCGGCATTGTACAGTTTCGGAATTTCCATCAAGCACGAAGCATTCGTCAATTTTGTACACAGGAATAAATGAGATAGGCAGCTCTTTTATAGCAAGCAGCAGGCACTCATTATGCTCAAACACATGACCAACGTCATGTGCTTTACGCTTCTGCGGCCACCTGATGATAACACAGGTATTTGCCAGTTACCGCTGATTTATTCTGCTGATACTGTGTATCTGGGAGCATCAGGTCATTATCTTGGAGGAGTATTCGCTTTTCTCCCACCATCATATCATCTCCCGAATGGCGGATGGTACACGATGGCAGCTGCTGGATTTACCATTTGCCTATGTAAATAGACGCGCGAGAATAGGCCAGGAGCCATCGTGACTGTGACCTCGTTGGGTGAGGGATTCTGGGCACATGATGGATGATACCATGGACGCAGTCTTCGCGACTGACACAGCCGTATTCCTGTCTTATCAATAGCTGACTTGTTGCATTTCAATCCCCTAGTGTTCCAGTAGAGCGTACTCCGTATACAAAACAGAAGTCGTTCCGTTGCCCTCTCTGGTTCGCCGATCAGGGCTGCTTATCACGTGATGTGTTTCTTAAACAGGAAATAAGGGTTTATGCGAGAAAACCCTAGCACTCAAATCTCGCTTAGCGAGCCAACTAGCGCCGGAATTCCACTCTGACTGGAAAACCCAAGAGCCTCGTCGAAAACGTCCGCCATCAACCGCCATCACTTTCGACGAACCGCCCCCTACGACCAGCTTCGGGACCGCACAATACCGCCAAGGTACGTTCGACCATCTCCATGGCCAGCTGTAGTTAATTTTTGAACTGTCAGAGGTCGTGGAATAGGGTCTAATGAGTTATTGTTGAACAGATGGTCGCCGCAAAGAAGCACATACCGATCGTGAAGAAGCGTACGTACCTCCAATATACTCCTAGGGCCATTTATTAAGGGATATGCATGTTTGCTGGCTATGGGATTATGGTGGAGCTCGGTGGATATGGGATGCGGATAGAAGGGAACCACTACAGAATGCTGGGAATGAATTGACGTAACCTCTGTGGAAGGAATACAACGGCTGATTTGAGGATTTCCGGGTATACAGACAAGAAGCGCTTCAACCGCCACCAGTCAGACCTCTACAAATGCGTCGATGCTTCTTGGCGGAAGCCCAAGGGTATCGACAATCGTGTCCGTAGACGGTTCAGCGGCCAGGCTGCTATGCCAAAGGTACGAATGATCCTGCTTGAATATTGTCCAGAATCGCTCTCCGGCCATTACGTTGTCGGCATTGGGACTTTGGCTTTATCGTACTACCAGCTGACAATCAGCGACTCGGGAAAAATAATATAGATCGGTTACGGAAGCAACAAAAAAACCAGACACATGATCCCCTCCGGCCACAAGGTCTTCCTCGTTCAGAACCCCAAGGATGTCGAACTTCTACTGATGCACAACCGGACCTACGCTGCTGAGTACGTTGTAACCCAAAACGCTGGCTAGCAGTTTCAAAGGCCAACCTTCCAACCAAAAACAGCGTTTATTTCTAGATGGATGCTAATGCTCTCCCCGCTTTAGGATTGGCCACGCGGTTTCATCAGGAAAGAGAATCGACATCATCGCCAAGGCCAAGCAACTCGGCGTCAAGGTCACCAACCCTAAGGGCAGACTCACCACTGAGTCGTAGTCATGTTGTTTTTTTTTTTTTTTTTTTTTCCTTTTTCCTTTCACGTTTATGTCTGGGGTCGGAAGGCTTGGGATTTGGCGAAAGCATTTGATAAATAAAATAGCCATTGAAACCCTGATTTGAATTTAAATGGTATAAACCAGAAAAAATTAACGGAATGAAACTGTTATTTTACTTTTTCTCCTGTCGCACCAGCTGAGTGTACTTTTTACCGGGGTTTTATCCCCTGTGTATCACCGTCTCAATGTTTTCTTTTTGCTCGGGAGACTTGATATCAGTTTCATGCAAGGAAAAATCAGATCCTCAACGGATGTCCAGAGTGTACTCACATTCGATCGACTTAACTGTTTAATGATGTTCCGCTTCCATGCTCGCCCTTTCCCATGCTTTCGCATTACGCAGGATCGATGAGATCCAGCAATTGAGAAATAGTTTCACGTAACTCTCCCCAGCTGGCCTCTTCCATTAATTAACCTTTTTTAAGTCGTCAACTTCCCTTTAGCCAGAACACCTCCTCTGGAGTCTCAACTGCCAATGCTCCCTTGATCAAAGTATGCGCTGAAGCCGTTTTGAGACATGTCACAAACGGCAGAGACTACGTAGAACACGGCGTCCTCTTGGGATTATCCTGGAGGGCTTGTTCACTTTTTTTTTTTTTTTTTTTTTTTTTTTTTTTTGGTTACCTACTTCATCTGATGGGTGGTAGCCATTTCTCTCTCATCTTGCACTACCCTCTGTGGGAGGCTAAAAAATACGTCTCCCAATATCCTCCGAGGATTTTAACACTACTGGGTCCTTGAATGTAGAAGGGCTTTGCACGGTTTTCCCCGATTCATTCGTCCAGTGGATGAGGAAGCCATCAAGCAGAGTGTGGGAGGGCAGCCGTGACCCCCTCGAAAGTGCATGTGATTTGAAACGCTATTTCATCTTTCGGCCGAACCGTTTGTGTAATACCCCCATCTTTTTAGAGGGAATTAAACGGGTTGGGCTTTATTTAGGAAGATACATAGACGTAACTACGAAGGGTAGATTCCATAATCCCAGTTCTTTCGTGCCAGATGTCACATACTGGATTCCGAGGTATATGCCGCGCAATATACCGTCAGCCTGAAAGCTGAAAACGGGACATTCACAGAAAACTTAGGATTAAGCAATAAGTGCCCAGCCTGCTTTCGGTATGTCATGAGGATAAGTGACAACCGCTTCGGCGATGGGGGGGCGATATACAATGTGATAAACGGCTATAAATAGTTCCTAGCCGAGGGGTTTCCCCCTATCCACAAGCCTATATTTTTCTCCGTATTTGGAACTATTGTGAAATGTTCCATAATGAAAAGGAACTGGTCAACTGAGGGTGAGAGGAGTGGGACAAATATCTTTTAGAATCGGAGTTTCATACACATCTTTCTATCGGGATAGCCGGTTACGCACCAACGCCATTAAACTTTTTCTTACCCCTTTTTGTATCCATGGAGTATTCTCTATATAATTTTAAAAGGAGCTGTGTTGTATCGAAATTGAAACAGCGCTGGAAAGGGCTACTTTTTCTGATCTCCTCCAAAAGGCTGATCGAGTTTGGAATCCCAACCCTAAGAATTCTAGCCACACAGGACTGCTATCCTGGAGAAGGAGAAAATTATCCGAAAAGAGCGTAAGATTTTTGGTGAACAGATCTTATGACTGTGGAGGTATGTAGAATGATTCACACCAGACTGTGGCCAGACACACCCAATACCACAGCTAAAACAAAGGGGATAGATTATTAAGTGTTTCGAAGGCGACGATGACGATATATGACGGTTCACTAATTGAGCTGGGAGAAGGTTCCAAAAATGAACAAGTCATGCTCGCCAATCATGGCGAGGATCCCAGAGAATATGCAAGCTAATAAGTAATTAGTACAGGTACCTGCAAGTTAGACAAAAAGATCTATCTCTTCTGGAGAAACAAAGGAGCTTAGTAACTCCCTGGAGCAAGATGAAAAAGCAGAAGAATGGTAACACATTCTTGCATTAACAATAGATATGCTGCTGGCTTGAACTAAAAATAATCCCCAGGTCAACGAGCCACGTGGGATTTCTCGGGCCGGGACACGAACTAAAAAAAACGTGGCGTGAAAATGCGGAACCGGCTCTGATTAGCTCCCAGAGCCAATTTAGCGTAATGTCTCCATAATTTAAGCTATTGGACCCTGCGCGCTAATTAAGCTCACCTGGGCTTTGTTTGAACTGCGCCATGCATAAACACTTACAGTGCACATATCGATTGCGCGGAAGGGCAGGCTTCCAAAGCATCACGAAGTCATTCTACTTCCCCCGTCCTATGCTGGAGCCTGATCCTCAGGAACTCAGCTTTGACTTCGAGGCGCGAGACAAACTTTGATCGCTCCAGCCATTTGCATGTTATGGTAGTCGGTTTTGACCTACCGATCTTAGATATATCCACGAGTATCCCACTTTCTACTTCCATCTTTCTTGCCTCTTTCTCTCTTTCTGTTACCTTTCTTATTAATTTTTTTTCTTTTTCTTTTGAGAGACTTCACTTAAGGCTATATAGCTCTCGTATTCTTTCTCCATCCTTCCGCTGCTCTTACATTTCTTTTAACTTTTTTTTTTTAAGTAAAAACTCCCCTATTACTGCCATACAACGCTCTTCTTGAGTTTACCCCCCCCCCCTCTCCTTTGGGAACGGGTCATATTTGTCTCGATAAGTATCTAGCATTCTTCACCAGCATATATCCGCCATGGCACCGCCGAAATATGCGCGTATGTGCGGGAGAAGGCTGTCTCAGCTAATTGCACTCCTCACTATCTTGGGCTTCTTACTATTCGGATATGACCGTAAGTTCCTTGCTCAATTTGGGAAATTCATTGCCGCAAAGCTTTCGCTGACTGAAATTCAGAGGGCGTCATGGCTAATCTGCTCATTGAACCGGTTTTCATCTCATTGTACACCTCTAACAATGAGGACCCTCTACTGAAGGCCACCTTGACTTCGATATATGAATTCGGTAAGTGTGTCCAAGGTGTGACCAAAATATAAGGGAAATAGAGAAAAACTAATACGTAGTAGGAGGTCTCTTGGGTGCCCTCTTCACACTGATCTTGCTCGATTTGATCGGTCGTCGTAAAACGATTATGTTTGGCTCGCTGTGTATGATCATCGGCGTGCTGATACAAATTACTGCTATGCGAGAATACAAGCCCCTAGTGCAGTTCATGGTCGGCCGTTGTGTTACTGGTTTTGGAAATGGAGTTAATTTATCTTCCATGCCCAGTTATCAGTCCGAATGTTGCAAGCGCCATCGGGCCTGGTTGTTGATGTGTCTGCAAGGCGGTGTCACTGCCTTTGGCACAACGATGGCCTATTGGATGACCTTTGGGGCCCATTTCGGTCCTCCAGAGTTGGTCTGGCGACTCCCTATCGGGTTCCAAATGGTTTTCTGTGTGCTCATTATAGTTACAATGTTTTATCTTCCCGATTCACCTCATTATCTCATCTCCAAGAATAAGATTGCCGAGGGCGAAAGAGTTCTTGCTGCACTTGAGGGGAAAGATATCGATGACCCCGCCACCAAACATCAAAAGAACCTAGTCATTGATTCGATAAGAACGTAAGTGAGGAGTTCAACTTTCTGAGAGCCACTCTAGCAAAAGCCAAATCACAAAAATATTAACAAAATTATTAGTTCGCGTACCTCGAAAGAAAGCTTCAAGGATCTTTTCACTAGTGGCAGAACTCAGCATCGCCGTCGTACGATGATGGGCACCTCCTCGAAGGTTTTCAAAGAGCTCACTGGATGTAACGCGGTCATTTACTTTCTTCCATTCTTTTTGAAGTGGTCTCTTGACAGGTCGGTTGAGTTGTCAATGTTGATTGGTGGTATAAGCATGACTCTCTATGCACTTTGTGCGACGTTCTCATGGTTCTTCGTCAAGAAATTGGGGCGCCGCAAGCTCTTCATTTTAGGGAGCCTCGGCCAATTCCTTGCCATGATCATTATATTCGCATGCGTTGCTGCCAGAAGATCTGGATCCACCCCGGGAGCCATCTTCGGCTTCTTTCTGTACCTGGGTGTATTCGGTGCAAGCTGGCTGTCCCTGCCTTGGCTCTACGCCGCCGAAATTACTCCAGACAAGGCAAAAGCCCAAGCCAACTCTCTTATCGCCTGCAACAGCTGGCTTTTCAACTTCTCAGTCGTTACAGCCACGCCAGTCATGGTGTCCAATATCGGGTGGGTGACGTATTTATTATTTGGTCTAATGAATGCTCTTATCGCACCTCTTGTCTGGTACTTATACCCAGAAACTTCAAACCGGAGCAAACAGGAAATCGACCTCATCTTCGCCAAAGGATATGTTGAGAAGAAGAGCTACGTCACTGCCGCAAAGGAGCTGCCTAAGCTTACGGATGAGGAAGTTGAGAGGAAGGCTACGGCATATCGCCTCATGGATGACCAGAATAATGGAAAGGTAGAAGCCCAAATAAGCTCGCATGGTGCCGGTTCGGCACAATCTTAGTTGCAGAGAGTGGCACATTTATGGCGTCAAGGTAGACGCATTGATATATCTCACTATTATACCCTGTGATATCAGTTTTGTTATTGTGTCTTCTTTGATATATGGGCGTTTGCATGCGCTAGAGAAATTACCAATAGGGCAGTGTTAAAAAGTTATGTTAGAGTTAGGTTTTTGTCGCGTAATGATTTATGCCAAAATATTGAAGGTGCATCCGCTACTAAAGGTTTCTGGCTAAGAGCCTTTCATATTGGAGATCAACGGTCTTCGACTAACAGGAATCTCAGTAGCACATTCATCAAGAATCCTCGCGATCATTTATCGCAGGAGCTGGTGATAGTTATGCTAATTGTGGTAGAGTATCCTAACACTCTAATAGTCTCCTGATATGGGTAGGCCTAGGAAGATTAGGGGAAATAAACATGGAAGAAAACCCCAATGTTACGTGCAGAAGATCGGTGTACCAAAGAAGTTAGTGTGCCCTGGGCATTAATAGCGAAAGCCTTAAGTGAACTGTAACGTAATCAACCACTCAACGCCCGTCTACACTCAACGCCCGCTATTTTGCCACCACTACAATGAAATCTTTTCATTAATATCTCAACAACGCAATTAGATTTTAATATGATATATTATATGATGAAAATATATATAGAAAATTACATATAAAAATATATAGCTAATTCAAAAGATGTTTGTTGGGCTTAATAACTCGCCCGGAACGCGAAATCTTGGGTGGAGGCAGATTCAATGAGCAGGCAGCGGTCAAATCCGTAGGGGTTGCAATATCATCCGGACCCCCCGGCGGCGGACCCGCGGGCAACCTGGCAGAGCTCTGAAAACGCGATTTAGCCACTCTTTGCGAAATCGAGGGTCTGATTTCCCGATTAGGAAGGTGATTTTTGGACCCCCGAACCTGGCCCCCCCCCAACCGCGATTGCTGCCGCGCAGCAGCTCGTTCTTCCTTTTCCTTTTGCTCTTGGGCCTTCTTTGCATCCCTAAGCTCCCTGTCAATCTGCCGTTGAGCGGCTCTTGCGGCCTTATCCATCTCCTTTTGCTCCTTAGCTGCCTGGCGAGCTGCCTCCCGCTCCATTCGCTGTAACATGATATCTGTCTCCTTCTGCTCCTTAAGAATAGCGTGTTGCAACTTGGCATCCTCCTTACGAGCCTGTTCATCCTTTTTGGCGGCCTCTGCGGCAGTCATCTGCTCGCGGATGCTCTGCACCTTTGCCGGTGAAAAGAACTGTGCCAATGACGGATTTGAAGAATCTAGCAACCCCATTGCCCTGCCACGCTTGCGACGTCTTCTTTCCTGATTAAGAGCTTGCTGTAGCTGCCTGTTCTCTATTAAAAGAACCTCTTTATCAAGAGCAAGATTCTCTCCTGCACGGATCACCTGGTTGAGATCGCTAGATATTCGACGCTGCCGCTGCTTGACTTGCTTGACTAATTTCCGCATGCCAATAATAGATGTAGGGGTTCTGGGTCGATATTGCGCGTCTGGGGGGGTGCAAGGGCGTATTGCAAGCTTTATAAGAACCCTATTCCGGATCAAAATGAATGTAAGCCAAACGGCAGCGAACGCGGATATAATTATTTGAGGGATGTAACTGATTTCCTTCCAAGCAGCATCAAATAGCTGCCAAAAAAGACCTCTTTGTAGTGCGTACAAATCCCCATACCGGGTTCTCATTCGCTCATTCAAATGCTTAGAATATGATTTTGCTCAATGGTCCAAATATCACAACATCTAGCGGTTGTAATCGGTGTGTAGAGTGGGGAGGAAAGACAGCAAGTAAAATCTTATGCTGAGCCGCGTAATTGATGAATGCCATATTAACATGGGATGAGTGGCCATCTAATATAAGAAGCCTGTATCCACGCCCTGCTTTCTTTTTTGTATGAGGTTCAAAGATCTTCTTTAACCACATTAACCCATATTCATCATTGCTCCATCCATTCTCTGAAGCAGCAAAGTAGACCTGATCCTTTTTGCTATCAAAATCTTCCAGCCAAGTATCTTGCATATCCCTTGATTCCCCTTGATATATGAGAGCAGGTGGGAGTGAGGTTCCATCGGCGCAAATTGAGGCAAGCAGTGTAATGAATTCGCGGCAGCCATCCTGGCTGGCACCTATTGTACGGCCGGATTTGAGCGCATTAATTGATACAATACGCTTGAGGGTGTGGATGAAGCCCAATAGGAATCCTTTTTCATCGAAGTTGTAGATATTCCCAGGTTCAATATTGTATTTAGTGATCTTTTCCTGTAGCTGCAAATCAACAATAAATTAGCAAGATAAAAGTAAGAAAAGCAGTAGAGAAAAGCAATATATACAAGATCAAAATAATGCTTAAAGTATGTAGAATTGTCCGCAATCTTGCGTTTTTGGTCGATATTTCGCAGGTAAACTGACTTGATTACATCCTTGTGGCGTTGACAGAACCTTGCCACCCAGTTGGCTCCAATAGGTTCTTTTAATATCTCAACAACAAGATTATGAAGGATTTGGGGCGTACAAGGGAAACCGCGATCTGCCAATCGATTGATATGAAAAAGGAGTCGATTTTCTTGCGAATCTGTGAGGATTTTGCGGTGGATAGAGGTTGCTTCCATTCTTGACGTTTGAACACCTCTATAGCGCCGTGAGAGTGTATAACGACTGATTCCATATTTCTCAGCGGTCACAGTGTAATTAGGAACCAATTGGGCATTCAAATCATCAATCGCGGACAATATAACTGCCTCGTGGTGCATCTTGTGGGTGTTTGAAGATGGATGAAAAAATGAGGATTGGGTGGGCGTTGAGTGTAGACGGGCGTTGAGTGGTTGATTACGTTACTAGGCCTTTTTGTGGCAGAAAAGTAGTGGAGATTGCCAATATTTACGGCCTGGCACTGTATATGAGATGCGCTGTGGCTGGTGTAGCAAGATGTGGAACGTCACTCATACCTGGCGCAAAATATTCTAATAGTTCCTACTGGTATATGGTATCTAAAAGTGTCATATTCCAACGAGCGCCCGCCCAATGATTCATCTCATGACGTCTTAGAGACCAGCATCGCCTATAGTACTAACATCAATGTCGCCATGGTTCTCCTTCGCCTGCCGCTCTGTCGCATTCTTGTCAACTAGGTCAGCAAGGCACACGGCACCTAGTCCCTCAACTAACGCTGAATCCCCATGCTGCCCTTGTCCGATAATTTCCTCCGCCTCCTCATCCAGCCAATCAGGCGCTATAGTAGGTCCTTCCATACCATCAGGAGGCAACGCCCAGCTAGGCATTTTACTTTTATACTTCCATGCACCAGTGACATCCGCATATGACATTGCATGCAGGAAAATCCCCAACTCATGCACGCCGGGATCAGTGTATAATTCCGTTCCGCATGTCTCACATTTCTTTCCATTCATTTTCTCTCCTTTGCGCTTTAGATAGTCGTTAACCATCGCCTCATGTTCCTTGGCCAGCAGATCATCCACAACGGCTGGATCGTTTTTGGAGATTGATTCAGGTGGCGGCGTTTGGAATGTTTGGTAACTGAGTGAGTCAACGGGTTCGGTTTTGCCCATTTTAGAAAGCCGGTATATTATCTGCTCATCGTTTTCTCCTGTTGCATCTGCTTTCCCAAGGCTGTGGCCAAAGACTCGCCTGTTGGAGTAGATTGGGTCATTCGTTATTGGATGCCCTAGGTATTGAAGGTGGACACGAAGTTGATGGGTACGCCCAGTTAGTGGGAGGCAGTGAACGATACTGTAGCCCTCTTCGTCTGGGCTCATGGGAACAGGGATTGCTGCTCCTATGGGTGTGTCGGTTTGCGAATCGCTGATGTTCATTTGATCTGGTAGTGTTGCAGGAGGAGTTGCTGGGCCAGCTGACAAACCCTGCTTTTTTCCTGCCTGTTTATGTGGGGGATAGTATGCAATTCTGCGAAACTTTGTCCTCGCCTCTTTTCCCGAAGCTCTTGCACGGTTTAGGCCCAGGATTGGACTTATTTTCAACATAGGTTGATCACACAACACTACGCCATCCGGGAACTTCCCCTTTACCCGTGCTACATATTCTTTGCGCACAGTACGTGAGCGGAGCTTTTCGCCAATTTGTTCGGCACCCTTGGGGTGCTTTCCGATAAACATCACACCCGAGGTCAGCCTATCCAGACGATTGCAAGGATACGGGACCCAACCGTTTCCACGTTCCGCTTTCATGATCTCAAGAATTGAATTATAATTGTATCTCCCTGCAGGATGCACGGGAACGCCAGCCGGCTTATCGATCACAATCATGTCATCGTCCTCGTGGATTATGCCAATCGGTTGGCTGGTCACGGGTGGTTCATGCCTGTGAAGCGTATGCGAAATCACATCCCCGTTTTGGATCTTCGTATCTATGGAAACTGCCTTTCCATTTATGCACACAGCACCGTCTTCAATGGCTTTTTGCTGAAGGTGTCTAGTTAGTACTTTTTATGGATTTTTCGAGATAGGGCTGCCTCCCGATCAAAAACTATTGGGATTGAACTGCAATTATCAACATACATAATACTCCTTCGGTCTATCTCTAAACTCTGTTCCAAAAACATCCAATAATCCTCGTCCCCGCCATCTTTCTTTACAATAGGTATTATACGTGTAGTGGTATGGTGCAACTCTGCGCAAGCCCCCTTCGATGTAGTAAGGTCTAGGTAACGGATCACAAGGCGTCACCACCACATCGGAGGGTGGTTCGAAAACCTCCTTCTCATTCACGGGAAATGAGCGTTCCACTGTGGTGACGGCCATATTTGAAGTAGGATATTGACCCCGCCGAGCCAGGCAGGCCAGGACGTTTCGAGAGGGCGCCAGGGGAGATGAAGGTGTTCTCGGCAGGAATATAGATTGAAAGAAAAACAATCGAAAGGAAGCAATTGACGATAAGGTGCTAGTAAGTAAACGAGAGAACAAAATGAAAAGTAGAGGACGGAGAAATATATCTCCGACATATATCCCACGTGACCCAACTCCTCCATTGTAGTAGCTGCCGCTATCCACAACCAACCATGCCCAACCTCCCGTACAGGCTTGTGTAGGACCTCCAACTGTCGGGGGTGGATTGATTCGTCCGCTCTACTACCAGAATGGCGCTGGTGGTGATCGAGCTCTTTGCCGCAGTGGCCTAACACCAACAAATATGAATATCATGTGATCAGCGGGTCGATCAACTTTATCTTATCGATCAACGAACAACCGAGGCTTGTCCGTGAAGTTCAACGTCAATTTCTGGCTTTGATAAGCACTCTTGGTGTTCAGCAATCGATAAATAATGGATCGACCTGCGCCATTCAGGCGAGCTAACACCATTCACGATATTGTCAATTACTAAGATATCCTTGCGAGGAGCCATATAACAATGGCCCCAACGGAGCTAGAACTGAAAAAGCGAAGGACGAGAAAAGACTATCCATTCCACTTGGAATATCAAACACGATGGTGAGCACTCGCATATAGATTCTTGACACTTTACCTGTTATCTACAGAAGGATTTGAATGCATGTGAATGGCAATGGCGGGGGAACAAAAATTACCGAAAAGCGCACGTAACGTATGCCTCTACATTAACTGTTCCATATTGATGAATTTGATATCAGGTCCGACAACGATATGTACGCCCATCTAAACAATAGCATATACTCCTTTCTCATCGACTCTATCGTAAACACTTACCTAATAAACCACTGTGGTCTGGACCCTTTCTCTGCGCGCTCTTCTGCTCCTCCTCCCTGCCGATCACTCAACTACAGCATCTCAACTTCCGAACGTCCAGATGCACCATCCCAAATTGGACTGGTCGTCTCCTCGTATTGTGATTATTTCTCTTCTGTTACATTTCCAGATGTGATAGACTTAGGCCTGCGCGTTGTCAAACTTGGCAACTCAAGCGCGATGTATGAGGTTGGCATTTTCCGCCGTGGAGAAGCGATGGTCAAGGCTGTCGGTGGGTTTACGCACGTGTTCGTAGAGAAAGGAACTGATATGAAGTTTGCGGCAAGAGGTGGAGGTGGAACGGCAAAACGGAAAATGGATTGGAGGATCCGGGACGGCCTTGAGAGGCTGATTGTAAAGGAAAAGGCAGTACCGTCAAAGCTCTGAAAACTCGACCGAGTGTAGTCCTATAATGGGGCCCTAATTATATCCTGGACTCAAAGTGATATATGGAAATTGTAGCGTATGGTAACGCAGCAGCATGTAAAATCATAAGTTAGCGATATAAATGAAAACATTTAATATTGCTTTCTGTGTGTATCTGGTCGCTAGATATAGTTGGTCGGCGGCAATCCTGCTAACACCTCCCATTTAGCTCTACTTTGATCATCTCCGCTCCCTGTCACCAGGTTCAAAGGCATCTATTCTTATTTTGGTCCATCCAATTCTGCTGCCCATACAGAACAAAAACGAAACGGAAGAACGCCTTGTCTACGTAAATTATCTGCTGGCTCCGCCTGAAAGCCAGTCAATTTGATATTAACACATTAATACCCATCTATCTTTATCAAGAAAACAATATGTAAACGCGAGATGCAGATTCTGGCTCATGGTGGTAAAAACAATCGTAGTCATCATCATAAGAAAATGAGTTGTGATTACATCACACACTGCCACTTCATTTCGAGAGGCTTGAAGCCAACTTTTTTGAAGGCACATAATCCAACACGCCGTTGAACGGGCCGGGTGTTATCGTTAGCGGAAGCAGGGAAAAGGAATAAACAAGAAACGGAGATAACTGATTATTTTGGAATACCAGACTTCCAACAATTTGTAGGGCATATGCTCAGTTAGCTTTCGCTGAAATAGAGAGCCTCTCACGATATGCGGGGATCAAAGTTCTAAAAAAATAAAAATGGAAAAAATGAAAAATGAAAGCAAGAAATATGGAATGCGATTCCGGAGCTTAATAGGCTATGCGGGCCTTTACTGTGTCGTACATTGTGTTTGTCCACCTTCCTCTTCATCTTCATCCTCCCAAGCTGAGTTTCCTTGGGTGTCTTTGGATCCGAACTCCCCGAGGCTCGCCTTCGGATCGTACTCGACATCATCTACCGTTTCGGCCTTGATGGTAGGGCCCGGTCTAGGAAGGATCTCACGTAGCTTCGTAAGAGTAGTGGGATCTGAAGCCCACCCATCATCCGGGAACTTGATTTGGACAGCCAAGTACAGATCGCCTCTCGCATCACTTTTCTTGAAAGGCATGCCCTCTCCTGCAACTTTGAGGATTTGGTTAGGTCTCAGAACAGAACCTTCTGTTTTAGGGTGTGTGATCTCGATGCCTCTTCCGTCGAGGTGTTTCAGCACTACACGGGAGAAACCGCAGAGCGCCTCAGCTAACGTGACTTCGATATCGGCCACCAGATCCGCACCGGCTCGTCGGAATGTTTCATGCTCTATTTCCTCTAAATGGAATATAATATCTCCTGGCTCTGTGTTTGGCAGCTGGTCTCCCTCTCCCTCCAATATGATCTTGTCACCTTGTCTGCAAAAGGGTCAGGAAATATTAACTTCAATGGTACGAAGACGAGAGCAGGATCCGAAACGTACTTCGCGCCACGTGGAATATAGACCTCGAGAAGCTTGCGCTCTTCCGTGACTTGTTTCCCTTTGCATTTTTTGCATTTGTCTTTTGGTTGAAAAAAGCTCCCTGAGCCTTCACACACCTTACATTCCGCCATAGCCTGGGTGACCATGCCCGGCCCTACTTGTACCAAGGTTTCCTTGTACCCTAATATGTTAAAGTTGTTATTAGCGAACAGATCATACTGCTCAAAATACTGGGGTACTTACCAGCACCCCCGCAAGTAGAGCACTGTTTTGGTGTAGCCTTTTCTTTCCCACCCTTCCCTTTACAGAGAGTGCATAAGACATTTTTGGTACTTGAAAACTTGACGGTCCGGCCTTTGTACAAGTCCTCCAAACTCACTGAATACTCTTGAACCTCGTTTTGTCCCTTTCTTGGCTTGCTAGGTCTTGGCCCGCCAAATCCCGGCATGCCTCCTCCCATATTCATCCCCCCACCGAACATCGACGCGAGGAGATCATCGAGATCGGGGCCGCCTTGCATACCAGCCCGTCCCGACCCATCAAACGCCGACATTCCATGGGTGTCGTAGATGTGCCTCTTCTCATCGTCATAGAGGATGTCATAAGCCTGGCTCACGGCCTTAAAGCGTACTTCAGCTCCCTCTCGTTCTTCTGGGGAAACTTTATCGGGATGGTGCGCAAGAGCTGCCTATGGAAAAGAGATAGGGACATGTCCATTAGTTTCTGATGCACGAACTGTTTCTGAACGTGACTGTAGGAGCTGCACACCTTGCGATAAGCCTTGCGTATATCCTCTTTCGTAGCAGATTTGTCGATGTTCAATATATCTGTCGCAGTTTAATGTCAAGAGCCATTACACATATAAAAGGAATGTGACAAAACTCACTGTATAAATCCGTCTCACCGTCAGCAAAATCCACTATTGGCCCCGGTTAGCGAAATTGGCGAGAAAAAGATCCTCAAGTTCTTCATGGACTCGGGCAAACAACGAGCAACTCACTTTTTGATACACAGGGAAAACACTGTTATTTTGGATCCTCAGGGTTAACAAGTAGTATGTACGGGTAAAAGAGCGACTTGAGGAAGCAACAGACAAGCAGAATATGCGTGCCGTCTCTATATGATGACAGTGATGGTGTTGAGCTGCCTGTTGGAAAAATGATATTCAATCAGAGTTTTGGTTGGCGGCGGCGGCAAAGATTTTCCTCATCGCGGACACCAAAAGAAAACACCGCCATCAAACCCGTGAATTACAACGATGTATTTAACCGAGCTCTGTTCGGCCACAGGACTAGAGTTGTGAATTTTCATACTGTGCCATATGATTTGCTATTTATTGGAATGAACGTTAATTTTTGTTTTCCCCTGCATTGAACCTACCGTTCCTGACAATGAGGCCGCCATATCGGCCAAAACGCGCCATTTCTCCCTGTATATTCTGCGGCGCAAGGTTCTCTACAACAGCAGGTCGTCTTGCGCGGAAGCAAAGCAAACTACTACCAGACTCCCCGGCGCGCACTCGTTTCGCCCCGTCTCCTACGGGATACCTCCACCTTGGCTCGCTTCGGACGGCCTTGTTTAACTACCTTCTCTCGAAGCGAACGGGCGGCCAGTTTCTTTTGCGGATTGAGGATACGGATCAGGTTGGTTATTCCCCGAAGCCTAGACGAATATTGAAAGTGTATTTGTGTTAATTGTCAAAGAAAAGGATTGTTCCTGGAAGCGAACAAAGGCTGTACGAAGATTTACAATGGGCTGGACTTTTGTGGGATGAGGGTATGGCTCATGTCGCCAACGAAGAAGAGATAGGCTAGAATACTAATACAACTATGCAGGGCCCATTGTCGGCGGCCTCTATGGTCCGTACAAACAGGTATGCTGCTTCTCGTCGATTGATAGGAGGGCAAGAGCAGTTATTGATTGATGGAAACGAATCTAGTCCGAACGGACATCCTTGGGAATATACGGGCAAGAGATCCGCAAGCTTATTTCTGCGAAACATGCATACAGATGCTTTTGCTCCCAGGAGCGTCTCGATACTCTCGCGAGGCATCGAAATGACCTAGGACTTCCACCTGGGTATGACGGAGCATGCAGGGAAATATCGCCAGAAGAGGCTGAGGATCGAGCGCACAATGGCGAGCCAAATGTTGTCCGTTTGCGTGTGACCGGACCATTTCCTATTTTCACGGATCTCGTGTTTGGGAAAATTGGTCAGAATCAGACTGCGGGCGCTGGCCGGCTTAGCAGTCAGCAGAGCGACCCTATTTTACTCAAATCGGATGGCTATCCAACCTACCATCTAGCCAATGTGGTCGACGACCACTATATGAAAATATCGCATGTTATCCGGGGCACGGTATGATACTTTTCATCATCCTCGGACTAAGACATATTGTTGACAACCCAATCGTTCAGGAATGGATGGCTTCGACCCCTTTACATGTTGCGTTGTATAATGCTTTTGGGTGGGAGCCACCGGCATTTGGGCACGTCCCACTCCTGACCGAGAAAAGTGGGCAAAAACTTAGCAAGCGTAATGTCGACATCGACATCTCATTCTTCAGAGATAAAGAGGAAGTTTTCCCTGAAGCTCTGAACAATTTCGCTGCGTTGCTAGGCTGGTCACATTCTCGAAAGTCTGACATTTTCAGTTTGAAGGATCTGGAGCAAATCGTAGGAATATTCAACGTCCCTGTTCCTATTCAAAACCATCTTCCACATAATCCTAATAGAGCATACGATAGTTCGATCTCAAACTCACCAAAGGAAACACCGTCGTTTCCTTCGAAAAGTTGTGGTTCCTTCAAAGTGCACATGCGCAGCGATATGCGGCCGAAGGAGGGCCCGAAGCCAAGTCCATGGTCGATAGAATAGAAAAAGCTGTGAGAGCACAGTTCACAGACGAACAACTGTACGTCCCCGTATCTCGATTCAACTCTCTCCAACATCCATTTCTACAGAGCCCACCCCATAGTTAAAACCACACTAACACTCATCCCACAGCTCTCCCCTGCTAAAAAGCCATACGCTGGGCGAACGCATTGCCTCCATAATCCGGGAAGGCGGAGCTCGCGGCTATACAAACGCAGCCAAATTCATTGAAAATAACAGGCCCTTTTTTACGTCATTCCTCAACCGGGGCCCCTTTAAACCTACCACTCCATCTCCACCCCAAGAAAAATCCCAACCCAAAAGCGAGACTGAAACTTCCTCCGCAATTCCTCCAACTACCACCCCAATCGCAGCCCTCCACACGGCGGCGGCAGCTCTCTGCCTTGTCCCTGTTGAGCACTGGACCACAGAAACCCACAAGCAAAACATATCTTACCTTGTCGGCGATTCCTCATGCTCCACTCATCTTGCTTCCTTTTCCCCTTCCTCACGTTCTTCCCCCACACAAACACAAACACCATCAACACCAGCGTTCGCCTCCGAAAAGCAATTCCGTAAAGACCTCTATCACTATCTCCGCTGGGCATTATGTGGTGGAGCGCCGGGAATAAGCATCCCAGCAACTATGGCAATATTAGGCCGGGATGAATGTGTCCGGAGACTGCTGGAGGCGAAGGAAATGACTACGCCTTTGCAGCACGAGAGTGAAAATTTGGCTGGTGGACAGGGTGGAAAGCTCCAGGGAGGTATTTTGAGTTAGTTGCAGAGCCAAATGGGTGATAGTATTGCTTAATGGCGAGGTTGGTGGTTTGCTATATTATTACCAATGTACAGTACTTATATTGCATATTAAATTTATCGTCATTTTTTGGTATGACGGTATTCTGGATTCTGAGTTATCCGCTACCACTGACACGTTCTTTTCGATCTATCAGTGTAGGGTACACGGAGAGTATTCTCCCACAAAAATACTCTTCTACCAGAACTTATACCGTACTTCATTTCCATTGCGCAGTGAACAAGAAAACATATAGTAACGAATTGAATTTTTGTCGTCAAAGCCAATAATAACAGATGAAACGAAACTTCAACAAAACACGAATATTAAAAATCAAAATAGTCGACAAAATAAAGACTACTAATATCGTCGATAAAAACCCCATAAAGTACGAAAATAGAAGGTAGAAGATACTCGTAGGTTGCATAGGCCAGCCATCTCGTCAAACAAAACACTGGGCCGGGAAGTAAAAAAAAAAAATGGATAAAAGGAAAACAGGATAGCGGAGGGAAAAGGAAGCAGAAGAAAGGTCCCAAAGGCTGAAAAACAACACTAAACGCATTAAAACCAGAAATGCAATAGAGTTAGCGAACTCGCGAAGGGATAATTTACCAGAAACAAAATTGACAAAATACAACCACAACTCCAAAAAAAAAAAAAAAAAAAAAAAAAAAGCCCAAAACGGGAGATAAATACAAAATCGCGAAGCAGAGGAAGGAGCGAGACAAAGCAAGAAAAAGGGTAATCACCCCTGAATCGAAAATAATGTAGAACTTGGAGGGAAGACGGGGTGTGAGGAGAAACCGAAGGCGAGAGGAGTAGGAAACTTGTGGATCAAAAGCACATCCGACAAAATTGCAAAGAGGAAAGGAACAACGACAAACGACAAAGCCCGATGGGAGACTGGTGGGAGAAAGGGCGTATTATACAAAACTTTGCTGACAAGCAACAGCACAAGGGACCCAGATTCTCATCATTGGCGTAAATCAGTTAAGTCGGGTCAGAGTCGTCCATTTAGTTACAAGGGCAAATAACACATCCGGCTTCATCAGGGGCATTTCCGCACTGGAAGTTGTACTTCGAAACAACTCATTTCAGCAGCAGGCTTTTCATTTCTCAAATAGAAACAGAAAAAAGAAAGAAACGGGAAACGGCCATGCGTTAGTAAGTCTCCATATCGTCAGTCCAGCCAGCATCGCTGCCAGCGACTCTCATAACCTGACCGTTCTCCTCAAGATATTGCTCATCCATGCCAACTCCACGAATCCCCTTAGCCTTTTTGCCAGCCAGAGTGTCCATGGCTCCAATATGCAAATCTCCTCCAAGCCGCTTGCCTTGGGCGGCTCTCAGTTTGGCGTAATAAACGTCCGTGGCGTCGATTTCAGGTTCAGATTCACTATCATATGTTTCCCAATTTTCAGATCCTGATGTGGCAGTTTGTATAGTGGAGGTATTTGATATTTGTCGACTAGCTGGTCGTGGAGGGGGACCCATTGGCTCATGTTGATGCTGTTGTTGCATGTAAAGTTTCGGTTGATGTTGCAGTTGCGGTTGTGATTGCTGTCTTTGATGGCTGTAATAATTTGGGTTTTGGACACTAGCAGCCGGGTTGAAAGATTGAACCATTGAATGAGATGAACCGGGCCTGTACTGGGACATCGAAGCACTCAAGTAGGAGTGCTGGTTTCGATCATCGTAAACATCCTCCGGCGTAATTGATCTCACATAGGAGTTTGATAATGACAGAACGCTGTGGCCATGATCTACGTCTGCATAGAATGAGTTCTGAGACATGTCCTGCCGCGCAGCGGCATTGAGATCTCGCATCTTGGGAGGTGGCGCACGGGGAGGTGGCATCTTGCCACGAATGCTGGAGGAGAAAGACTGAGGTGGACGGCGATCGGGAGAGTTACTCCCATGAGGCATATTCGCAAGAGGCGCACGGGATGGAATTTTCGTAGGCGATTTATTGCCATTTCCGGTAGTTGGATTTGGGGCATTACGTTTCAAGGTACCACTCCTTGTGGGAGTCTTCGCATGCGAAGGAGGCTGTGATGCTCTGACTGATCCACCACCGCGCATCGAAGATGGCGGTCTCCCTGAATTTGCACCCCTCTGTTGGGGTGGTCCACTTGGCGTTTTTGATCGTGGTGGAATTTTCGCTGCCGCGGGAGGGGCTAATTCATCCAGATATCGCTCACCGTGAACGAGAAATGGTCTCCCGTACTCATCCTCCCACTGTTCGAGGACTCTGCGCAGCTCTGCCTCGACTTTCGGTAGCTCTTTCGCAATCCTCTTTCTCATTTTCTCTTCCCTTAGAAGCCTGGTGGGATCCCGGCGTTCACCCTTATTTCCGCGAGCCATAAGACGAGAGGCGTCCTGGCTAGAAGCCGCCAGGCTATCGCGATCTTGAACAAGAGTTCGGTGCTTTTCGATCAGTACAAGTGTAGGGGCGCGCTGCTCTCTTAGTGCTTCGAGACGTTCAATTTCTGCCTCGTGCGCTGAAAGCAGAGCATCACTGTAGACATCTGAAAATGCGGGAGTAAAGTCAAGCATCTCCTCCTCGGAATAGAATAAGCTATCCCAAAGTTCCTGAAGTCGGCAACGAGCATCTTCAACGAACAAGTGAAGGTTTTGTCGCTTCAACTCATTCAAGCGGCTCAGTTCGTCCTCAAACTCATTGATCACCCTGAGACCACATCCGCGATTTCCGGCTAGGAAGCCTTTTCTGTCAGATTCCTCAACCCCTAAGCGATCCCATAATGATTCAACTGCAGTTCGCAGTTCGTTGATTTTCCGTTCGCGTCCGCGCTTTTCGTCGATTAATTTATCTCGCTTTTCACGAAGTGAGGAAAGATCTGATTCGTGCAATCCTAACTGCTCAGGCGATTCGCGATAATGCTTAACAATTGGCGAGTCAGTCTGTGCTTGCGGAGTACCTAGCTCCGCCCAGAGTTTTACTATTTCTTCCGAAATATTCTGCACTACTTGGACACGACGTGTATATTCTTCATAAACCCGAGTAAATTCTTTATCCAGGGCTGATGCGTATGATGGCGAGAGGTCAAAGGTGGGTGGGATGGCAGACCCGTCGGTGGTTGGAGGCAATGGGACCTTCACAAATGTTGGCTCAAGGTGGGAGGAATAAGACTCGAGGGCTTGGACGAGCTCTAAACAAGGACAAAATATCAGCTACTCTTTCATCAGACTGCTAGTTGGAGGCAGCTTACTTTTTATTTGCTCAAATCTTTCACGATGTAATTTACTGATGATGGAATACTTCTCTTTCAATACCTGCAGGCAGCGACTGAGTGGGAAAGTAATACGGAGATCTCCGTCATCTATTTTATGGGTATGTTTGGTGGAGTCATCTAGAGATGCTTCCATCTGTTTAATCAATTGAATTGTCTGTTGCGCTTCATCGAGCATGTCGTTTTTCTCACTGCTCACGAATAATTAGTAGGAGCGCAAAAAGCATGGAAGGTCTCTTACCAATTAACGCGCCGGAGGTGGCTCTGCAGGGTGTCTGATAGGGATGCGAAAAGCTATACAGTATATATTAGTACCACCTGTGCTGCAGCTGGCTTGAATATAAATTGCTCACCTCTTGCTCCCGCGACTCGCGCTCATGACTAGGGACGCCTATCTCGTCAAACAGTCCATGCAGTTGACTGATGATAGAGGTGACCTGCGTGGTCAGGTAGCCAGTATCAATGGCCATTGCCATGAAACAGCCTTACCGTGACTCCACGACAGACGCGAGCAGAAGTTTAAAACTAGCCGTTGGCAGATGGGTCGTTTCGTGGAGACGAAAACGGCACTATAGCAGTTCTTTGGGTGGTTTCACAGAAGCATTCAGCGATACTGCGCGTAGAAAACGACAATAGATGGGAAATTCGATGGCGCTGTAATAAAAATTATGTTCATGTCCAACATAAATGAGACATAATAAGAGGGAGAGGGCAAGCACCAGTCTGGAACTGTCGACGGTGGAGATGGAAAAATGGATTGTTTCCTGTAGAATGTCGTTGGTTTCTTATTCCTTGGATGCTTGGATGCGGCTCGGTTGTTGACGGTGGCATCGTTGGCACGACAACCGATGACTAATCACTCTCGCCGCCTTGGTATTGCCAATTACCCCACGTCACGTGGAGATATTTCGCCAGCTTCTCCAAAGGCTGCAATCAGATAAGCGGATTGAATCCTCACCATCTCTCATATACATAGCTTCATTCTTCTCAGAAACAGCAGCTATTCTTTTTCAACCTGGATCGCCATATCAAAAATTGATCAAATATATCGGTTGCCTTCTCCTCCACATACCCTGTGAAAATATAGCTGCATTCTCAACCACCTCCCGAGCCCCTTGCTCGCAATGGAGGCAGCCAGACAAGCTTGGGGTATGTTCTCCTATTTCCATTTACATTAATTTCAAACAAAAATAACGAAAATATACCAATCTCTCAAGAATTTGAAAATTCCCTCCAACTCGTTGACCCACAACGTGATGCGCTCTACAATTATGACCCTGCCGTCCATTCCGCCCTCACCGCCCAAAAGCCCTGGTCAACCGACCCACATTACTTTAAACACATCCGCATCTCCGCCGTTGCACTGTTAAAAATGGTCATGCATGCGCGCTCCGGTGGGAGTATAGAAGTTATGGGCCTAATGCAAGGTTACATCGCCGCCAACACGTTCATCGTCACCGATGCCTTCCGTCTTCCAGTGGAGGGCACAGAGACCCGCGTCAATGCTCAGGAAGAAGCAAATGAGTATATGGTCACATATCTACAGGCATGTCGGGATTCAGGACGACTCGAAAATGCCATTGGTTGGTATCACAGCCATCCGGGTTATGGGTGTTGGTTATCCGGCATCGATGTCTCAACGCAGGATACACAGCAGAGATATTCCGATCCCTTTGTAGCGGTTGTGATAGACCCTGATCGTACGATATCCGCCGGCAAAGTTGAGATTGGTGCCTTCAGGACCTTTCCGAAAGATTATACGCCGCCTAAAAATGAGCACGATGACGACGACGAATACCAGAGCATCCCATTGCATAAGGTGGAGGATTTCGGCGCACATGCTGCCCAATACTATTCGCTTGAGGTTTCGCATTTCAAAAGCACTCTTGATACTAAAATACTTTCATTGTTGTGGAATAAGTACTGGGTTGCCACGATTAGCCAGAGTCCGTTGTTTACGAATCGCGAATACGGGAGTAAGCAGATTCATGACCTGGGGCAGAAGATGAAGAAGGCTACTTGGCAGATTGATCATAGTTCGTCACGGGCTGGGGGAGGTGGTGGAGTTGGAAGCAGCGCTGCATTGCTAGTGAAAGACCAGCATCTAGAAAAGGTGGTTAAGGAGGGACTGAGAATTGTGGGCGATGAAGTGAATGGGCTGATGGCTGCTGAGATTAAAAAGGCGTTGTTCTATGGCATCGGACAGGGAAATACACGAAGGGCCACAGATGAGCAGACGCAGGAGGCGTAGCTTTATTTGAGGTTTTTTTTTTTTATTTCCATTCCCTAAACCGCCAGCTTATGACTCTCATTGTTCCATATAAACCATGCTTTTCGCATGTCAACGAGAGGACATTATACCTTCCCTAATGACTAATGCCATCACAATAGAGTTGAGATTATTGTGTCTTTCATGTGGCACATTACTTACACAGTGTTCATTTTACTACTGTTATCTCAGGTGAATTTTTTATCTTGCGTAACTGGAAGATTTTGCATCATGTACTAGCTTACAGCTATAGCGGGGCCATATGAGTTGGCCACTCTCCTAGAGCCCATGAAACAGAAAAACACACTTTTAATGTTCATTCATTTATTCATTCCATTCCATTCCATTTACCATGTAGACTTGACTAACAACACTTAACAACGTTTAGCTTTAAAATCACATGAAAGCTCATTTTCTGTTTCAGGAGTATAATTCAATCAAATCATCACTCCAGAAGAACATTCAGTGGAAACTCAAGGAAATGATCAAAAAAATCGCGCACATATATAAACCGCCTATTTATTGATTGAAAGGGAGAAATAGTATAAAGAGTAATATAATTGCGGCAAGAAGCAATGAAGGAAAAAACGGATGATATAAAAAACGAAACCCCTGGAAGTTATATAGCTTGAGACTTTAGAGACAAAAGTCATCAAAAAAAAAAAAAAAAAAAAAAAAAAAAAAAAAAAAATATTAGATTACTTCATATCATTCCATGGGTGAAAGAAACTCAACTGGGACAAAGATTTGTGCGACATGGTTGTAGAATCTGAAATTTGAGCGCGGATGCGGGGGAATGGAGGGAAGGAAATCTTGGATCACCAGGCGAAATAGCTATTGGGGTTATCCACGACTCTAGAGGTATATTCATTCTGGAAAGCACTATGTGTGCCGAAATATTCTCATTTCCAATGAATTGACTTGTTTGGGCAATTATAGTTCCTTACTCTCCCACGTTGGACGTTGTATTAGACCCGTACGGGGGCGGGGATGGCAAAGGAGTTACTGGGGAGGAAGAAAGAGGTAGCAAAGGCGTCATAGGTCTGGGAGCACTAATATCAAACGGTATATCATCACCTCCTTGTTTCTCCGTCGATGGCAGTGGGCACGCACCCTTTTCCATCTCCCTTTCTCCTGGCGAACGCGGACCCTCCTCATTTTTCTGGCTGATCGATACCTGTATCGTAGTGGTTTTCAATAAGCTTTTTGATGACTTCAACATCTGTTCCTCTTGCATCTGTTCGGGGTCCTCTGAAATTCTGGCGGCTTCAGCGGCGGTTATCGAGCTTTGGTGGGAAAGTGTCTCACCCCCGTAGTGGAATGGGGGGAAAAGCGTGGGGAAGAGCATCGAGAGTGGTGTGCGGAGCATGGGGAGGCATGCGCAAATTATAGAGGTGTTGGCTTCGACCATGGCCCACATCAAAGTATTAACAGTACCTTTGCTTCGGTCATGGGCTTGTGAGCCAAAAGGGATGGTTGTCATGCGTATGACCGATATTACGCAAACGCTATTTAAGGGAAGGCGGTTAGAATGCTGATCATGATATATTTTTGTGACAATTTTCACTCGATAGATTTGTGCTCACAATATTCCCAAGGCAAAAATACACATTAAACCGTATTTCTGTCGAGGTGGAAGACGAAGTCTATGAATCACAGGCATGGGGAGAAGAAGAGTGACAATGTCGCTGCTTGATGTTGAAATAGCATTTGCAAGCCAATGGGCCGTAACATTTATGCATGTGCCTGGGATTGACATGTCAAAGTTTTTCGCAACCGGCCTGCATTCAAGAAGGTTTGCCGCGACGGAGGCAATGAAATAGAGAACGACAAATACAAAGACGATGTTGACTGCAATTTGAAATTTGCGGGTTGCGAAGATGCGCCGGTATAGGAGGAGAATTGACATTTTGCAGATGTTCAGAGTGGATTTGTAGGCAATTTGCACAGCCCAAAACAACTAGATAATTATTTTGTCAACTCTTACTCCCTATGATTTTTACTCCCTCCTTTGATTTTAGAACGCCATATGAAAGCTCACCTTCATGGATATGAGCTGCTGAGATTTCGACAGCTCATTCCACGGTTTCCCGTAACCGTAAGAAACACCTGCCATCGGGTTAGAGTCCATCTGCTCTAGAGGCTAGCCATGAGTGATTGACGCCTACCAACAAGTGGGATAGTATTCATCGCAATGCACGAAACCTATCCATAAAAGTCAGCATCAGAACATTGACATCTTTAATTGATGTTCAATCCAACAACAAGACAACAACAGCATGACATACCATGCCATGATAAAGAGGAACGAGGAGCAAGGTTAACACATGGAAAGAGCAAAAACACTTACAATAGCAGCAATAATGGCATAGTCATCCCATGCCAAAACTTTAGCCAACTTTACGCGGAAATAAATACGATTGGCAACCAAGAGGATCGCGATACTGGGCATGAGGAGTTGCACAACGACAAGGTCGGTCACCCCGGAGTGGAATGGCGCGTGCCGCCGTGTGAACGTGTGAAACTCATTTAGAGGAGCCATTGAAGCGTATCCAGAGGCTGGGATGGGAGATCCGTAGATACGAATGGGCGGCGAGTAGCAAGCAGGCAGGTGGGGGAGAATATCAAGGCTTGATAACCTGCAGAGATGAGCAGACAACAGGGAAAGCAAAAGGACACAGAATTCCGAGTGCTATCGAACAATACAGTTCTCCCCAGGTTGGTCCAGTTGCGATGGTGATTGCCTCTCGTCAACAGGAACTAGAGGTATACAACAACAGTTTACCGGCCCAGAGAAGATGAGCATGGGTAAAAACCTATGCCCAAACAACACCCAAGCAACCACAGAAACAGAGCGGGCAAATGCCTGCTACTACTGAGGAGAAGCCACGACAACGAAGAGGTGAAACTGACGACGAAGGCAGAAAACAGAACAGGCATTGAATAGACGCCAGTGCCGCCGAACTCGATGAGCGAGAGAAACACAACGAACTTTATAGGAAATTGTCAAGGAGTGTCGGGCGCCAGGGCCAAATTCCGGGGTTAGATGCACCATTTGACGCCTTACCATAGAGACCAGGCATGTAAATGTACATCACTATGTGTTGAGATGTGCAATAAGAATTAGACCGTGCAGGAAAATCCCAAAACAGAAACAATACTGGCATCGTCCTCAAAGGAGCAAACGCCCTGCAACGGCCGCAGGATATCCAAAATCCCTTGTATAAAAAGGCACCGGCCATCGGGCATCATCAAACGCATGCCCCTTTTTCTCAATAACGAAATGGATGGAAAAGGACAATAAAGTGACCACTAACTCATCATCTCGAGTAGGTACTAATCACTGACATGACACATCCTTCTGTACAGGCTGCTAGTGATCGCATTTCCATTCCAGCACTATGGATGAACCAGAAAATCATCCATTCATTGACATTGACAGAGATCCCGATCCCCGAAGCAGACGGGCGGCTCATGATTGAGCGGAAATATCGGCCAAAAACCAAGCTTTGGGCGCCGTTCCACCGGCCAGTTTTTATTCAAAAGGACATGCAAGGTTTATGCCAGTCTATTAAGGTAGTGCCAAAGATGTGGAAAAAAGGCTGTCGCTATGAATGGATCGACAAAAGCCCTAATATTCATCTTTATTTCTTTGGCACAATACCGTCCGAGGAGAACAACTTGTCGTCAATCTTTCTGGAATCCTAGATGTCGGTTTCGGACCATTGGAAACCCACAGCCGCCGCAAAATCTATTTTTCTGTTTGCGCGCTTACAGTAAACGAGAGATACCGTCCTGCACATACGGGAGATGGCATGAAAGTATATCAGACGTGGGTGTCAGCGCCTTCTTCTGCCTTACCCCTTGCTCGGAATAAACAGAGCAAGTAAATGTTGCTGAGTACGGCATGGCCACCATTTGACCCCGAAACGAACCACCTACCTGATAGGCAGTCCCTTGGGAGGCATTGAATTATATGTGGATATTGGGAGGGTAGGGCACAAAGAAAAGATACGCTCATGCGTGAACATAAAGGTTGAAGGATGGGGAGGAGACGCAGGAAAATCGATCATCTGCTTTGTTGATAGAACAAAGAAGCGGGGTTGGTTTTTGAGAGATATGAGATTTCATTGGAGGCAGCTGTTAACAATTGGAAATGATAGACGTCTGAGCATGCAGTTCCAAGTTCCTAAAATGGTAAAAGAAACTTGAGGGTTGGAGCGGGCCAGGATGCCCTTGTTCAGTTGAGGCTAACTAACTAACTTAACCCCGGAATATTTAAGCTTATTTGATGGTCCTTGCGGGACAATACTCGTATTATGATAATTGTTGAGGGCGATGACCTCAATCCTCCTGCGTTTCAACTATGATGTGATTATATAGGTACAGTATCCACACTATCTGCTACTACCCAAATCAACTCCAAATGACAAGCCCACAACAACCTGAACAAAAAGGGGTGGGACATCCCCCCTCACGGGCTACAAAATACATACAATGATCACAATCATGAGCAATACTGTCATGGCCGCGGTTCTACCGAGCCTACATCAGCAATAAACAATTACCAATTCCATTTTAATTAAACGCATCACATAATAGTAATTATCTCCCTCTCCTCAAATGATCAGGCATGCCATGTCTAAATATGATGCGCTCGCTATATACATGAGTCCTACTCTAGAAATAAGAACGCACTGATATACTGCACAAATGCAATAACTATACATATCACAATGCGCACAGTGCACGCTAATTACGGCGCCTTTGTCTTCGTCATGCTGGGCCGTTATTATCATTAAGAGAGCTATCTTGAACGGGCGTTAAGGAGATCTATCCCCAAAGAATAGCCCCTGCATTTCGCTCACCACCATCCTTTCAGATGTTCCACGACATTCAGAATCCGCAGTATGGCTTCCAGAAGCGTAATCATTGAACTTCCGAATATCCCAAAAACCTGAGTTCTGCTGCCACATCTGATGGCTCACGAAGACTTGCGCTGATCCAAGATGCGCCGCCACTCCCAAAGAAAGAAAGAAAGAAAGAAAGAAAGAAAGGAAGGAAGGAAGGAAGGAAAATTGAGCCACCTCCCAGTAGTTGCTAATAAGTTCTGCTTTTTCCAGAGCATTATTCCTTCGGCTTTGCTTCCCATAGCCACCACGCCCAGACCAAAACCAACAAACCCATCGCACCCGCTTACCTTCCCTCCCCTCCGCTCCCCTTCCACCAAATACCCCCGCCCCCCAACCATAGTGCTCATTACCCCATAAACCCCCGCAAGAGGCCATATCCCCCACACCCACCCTGTAACATGGCCCATTACACCGCGCCATCCCTCCCGAGCATTCCTGGCCCCGTCTTCTCCAACCCCAACCCCAACCCTAACCCTTTCGTAGACATCTGGCAAGTAGCTAGCTCCGTACTTCTCGCGCAGCCCCTCATACCACTGCCGATCATAGATGTCCCAAAACTCCTCCTCCGTGTAATACGTATGGGCATAGAGCCATTTCGTCCCCCGTAGCGCGCTCACCTTCTGTTCGATTGCGCGATTGACCTTGACGAAGGCGTCTGCCGTGCGCGGGCCCGGACACCAGAGGCCGACATTGAGAAGCATATCATCGGGTTGTGGTGCCTCGTCCGACAACGATGAGGACGGGGGTGGGTGCGAAGTTTGCGAATGCATCCATCTAGGATGCATCGAGCCAAAGTTTGTTGCGCCCCGGCCCCTCCTCCGCAGCCGCAGCGGACACAGCCACAGGGGGAAACAGCCGCCCACCCGATCCCCCACTCCACTCTCCCGCTGCACAAAGTCCAGAAACTCCTCCGTGGCCGCTCCATGCGGCAACGCCAAGTCTTGGATGATATACTTCTGCGCGAACCCGCTGCGGTGCAGGGCGTGGTACATGACTCTGGTATGCAGGAAGCCGTCCAGGAGCCAGCGTGTCAAGGCCGTGAAGGGAACACGGAAGTATTTGAACGCGTAGTAGCCGGTCCAGAAGGCGCCGCGGTCGTAGCGGAAGAGGTAATCCGTGAGTGGGACCGTTTCGATGATGGGGACTGCAGGATCGGAGGGTGACGATTGGGACAGCCGCTCGTGCGCGTGGGTGTAAAACCACGGATCGCGAGCGCGGGAGAAGCGCTGGATGCGTCCGTCGCGGGCGGTGATGGCATCCGTCAGCCGGCCGGAGACAACCACGCCCATCTCGGCACTGAAAAGGATGGCGTCGACATAATCAACCTCGCCCGGCGGGTGGGCGGCCTGGGACCGCACCGTTTCCACCGCCTCGTGCACGCTGGACACGGGCCGGTAGGAAACCTCGACGAAGGCACGCGCCTCGATGAGACGCAGCTCGAGCAGCGTGGTGATGCCCAGCGAGCCCATCGAGCCCGCGACACCATGGAAGAGGTCCTCCGCCATCCCATCCCCGTCCGCAGCACCAGAAGCAGACGCACCAAGAACCCTCCCATCCCCCACAACAACCTCCACCCACCTAACCGCTTCATGAAACATCCCGTAGCGAAACGAGCTGCTCTCCCCGCCCATCCCCGCAAAGCCGCCCCCAACCGTGATGCCCGGAAACTCCATGACGACGGGGGGCACCAGGCCATGGCGCAGCGTCGCGGCCACCAGGGCATCCATCGGCACGTTCGGCTCCACCAGCGCCGTGCGCGCCCGCTCGTCGACGCTCAGCACGCGGTTGAGCGCGCTGGTGTCAACGAGCCGATCGCGCTGGAAGGCGAGGGCGCGCGTGCTGTTGGTTGCGCCGTGGTAGATGCGGAATGGGGTGCGGTTGGCGTGGAAGCGGCGGACCTGGGCGGCTATGCGGGCGACGGCGTTGATGTGCTCGTCGTCCATTTTTTAATTTTTTTATTTTTTTATTTTTTATAGCTTTTATATATATTATATTGTATTGTGTAATTGTTATTATGATTACCAGTTATCTGCTGGCAATATCTGCAGCTCGCAGTATAGTATAAATACTCCTCCGTAACTACATGGAAGCATGATATAATTAAGCCACCTTAGCCTCAGGCCAGGCACAACAAGCCAAGTGGAAACTGAGGGTCCGAGGTCCATTCAGTGGATCTAATAATCACCGCAGTTCAATAAATAATTGATAATTCTATCATCATCACCAGTAGCAGCAGCAGCATAACAGACCATTACCGCACGTTCAACAACTGCTCCGATTCCTAACCACGGAACCCATCTCCCGCCCGCACGGATTACCGTAACTTTAACTGTCTTTTGCTGAAGGTCTGTTGTCCGGTACGAGTTAGTTAACGCTAACTGTCGAAATGCAACAATTTATGGGGTATAAAGTACTCCGTACGCACGTCCTCTACCACATATTCCGCATCCATCTTTCGCGCGATTGAGAAACCCAGCCATCCAAAGAAGAGCGACTGCCCCACATGCACGCCAGCGGGGTGGAGTGGAGCATGTTGGGGGTTTGGACATAGTACTACCAGCATGGCGCTGGTGAGAGAGAGCTGCTCTTTTGCCCCGGTGGCCTAACAGAGCACATCATAGATGAATCATAGCACACACGGCACGCAGCACGCAGCACGCAGCACGCAGCACAGCAAATAGGTGTGTTCAGCAAGCGTTTTGCTCATAACTAACTAACTGACAGGTTGCGGACACTAAAACACAGCTTAGTCAGCATTTGTCTTGAGCAGGGCGCCCAACCAAGGGTTCATGGATTTTCTCCAGCTATCATATATAGTTTTGCTCCGTTCTCTGACCTGTTCTCCGCAAAGGACTCAGATCTCTTCCGCCTGCCATGGAGGGCGTTGCTCACATACTTTCCCGGTTTTTCATCCGCTTCGCTCCCCAGCGCTGGCTTGGCCTTTGGAGTAATTATATTCAATGTCCTCGTAGGCCTGCCTTACTCTGGTTGGACTAGCCGGGTCGATATACCCAGCGTCCTCCATATCTTGAAGCATCGTCTTACTGGTGCGGGTTAGTTAATGCAGCTTGCGCGAGGATAAGCCGTCGGTGTTGTTTCGTCGTCCACCTCAATCTTGTTGAAGAAGTCATTAACCCGCCAATATACCTCGGTATGGTTACATCCCCAGGAAACACTCAACCGTTCCAAAGCAAATACAAGAAAGCTGCATTACTCGAGTAGACTGACTATATAGTACATGGCATATTATTTAACAACAGAGCAAAAAGAAAAAAGGAAGGAAATCAAAAAGATCAATAAATCAATAACGTATAGATATATATTGAATATATAAATAAGGTAGGGGGAAAAAAATGGAAGTAAATAATGATGAAAGGGGGAAAAAATCACAGCTTCTGGATATAATAAGAATATTATGAAGCACGCATTGAACAATCAAAGGAAACAAAGCAAACAAAAACAAGACATGCATACAAAATCTGTTGAGAAAACAGAAAAAACAAAACAGAAAACACTCGCTAGATAAATCAAAAGCCAAAACATAACTCGCATCAGAACAAAGGAAAATAACAAAGGGAAAAAAAAGCAAGAAAAGCAAACAGCAAAAGAGGAATAATAATATAGCTAAGAGCCTTGATTGAGTGCTTAAAACATCAACAAAGGCAGCCGAGACTATTATGCACACGAATGGCAATTTGGATTTGGGAGGGGAGAAGGCTGAAGAGAGGACGCGATAAAAAAAAACAACAAACATTTGCGACACGCAAAAACAGATTGAAATGGGCTGGTGTAGTGAGGAGGGGAATTGGGGCTGACCACTTTGACTCTAAATAGAACATAGCTCGGACGAAAATGAAAAGATTTGAACAAATTGTCTCGGAATAGACGTAAAAAGAAAGTTCTAAAAAGTTAACAAACGAGCGTGGGGTTCCATAAATAAGATGGAAGAAAATATAGGAGGTGTTGAAACGAGTGATAAAAAAAGGGAGAAACAGGGAAATGGGCGATGGCATTGAAGAGCGATTGACACGAAGACGAAAAATGCGTACGCAGAAAGTGTACTTGTGTTATCAGCTGGATGAAGCAAAACACAGAACGAAAGCACGAAACGAAAATAGCAATTAAAACCAAAGCTGCTGAAGACGATCAACGATGAAGGTATCAAGAAAAGATAAAAAAACAATCAAGCAATAAAAAGGGGAGGAGGACAAATTAGCTCCCCTGTCAAACCAAAAATTGAATATATATAAGAAGCGAAAGGGGTAAAAAAAAAGACACTAAAAATTAAAGGGTTGTTGAGGGATGATGAAAGGGAAGAGGGGATAGAAACACGCAGGACCAGCCGGTGTAAACATACTGTCTATGCCAACTGCCCATCAACCAAGTAAAACCAACCAGACCGGACTCCTGTGTGCTCTCTTAAAAAAATTGAACAAAAAGATCAGTATGGGAGATCATTCGGAAAGACAATAAATGATGCAGAACAAATTCACAAAAAAAAACAAAAATAAGAAAAGCCCAATATCGGGGATAAGGGATAGGGCAAATTCATGGAGAATGCAGTAGGATGCCTTGGAAATCCGACCACCCAATAAAATAAGACGTCTTGTTTCCGATGCAAAACAAAAAACACCCTGCCGGCCTCCATTTGCCTTACCTGTCCCCGAATCCTTTTCCACAGTTCCAGTATATAAGGTAAGGTCTCCCAATGGTTTCAAAAAAAAAAAAAAAAAAAAAAAGGACAAATGCAACTTAAGGAGAGCGAGAAAAAAGAAAAATAGTCTGAAAATTTCGCAGAATCGCAAGCAGTTGCTATGCCACTTTCAAACCATTAGAAAAAAAAAAAAAAAAAAAAAAAAACATGCCAAAAAAATCGTGCGAATAGAGTCCGAGAATCCGGTGAACGCCGCAGAGCCCACCGGAAGTAACGAAAGAAAAATCCAAAAGCCAATTAAACAGTGGTATGCGGTTGGATATATGCACGAAAGAAACCAGACTTAATAAGGACAAAACGAGGGTGAAGAAGTCCTAAGAGTCAGTCCGGCCAGGGTGATAATTAATATGCTGTTCCAACACTCGCGAGGCCCTGTGTGGGCATGGGCTCCAGTACATGCTCTGAAGTCGAGGTCACCATTGAATCCTCATATCCAACCAAAGCCTGTGAGTGAAGCTTGAACGACTCGCCCATGAGCTTGGTAATACTGTATGTGAATGGAATCGATTAGCAACTACCATGTTAAGACCAAAGGACGAACAAAAAAAAAAAAAAAACGTACCCCCAAACCACCACGCCGTCCAGTATGTTGCCCCACACACGTGCGACCGTAGAACTGAGATTCGACGCACAAGCATCAACAGCATCATCATCGAAGAGATTCCGTACTTTGTTGTAGATAGCCATTTCAGCTTCAGTAGCCTGTTCCTCGTCATGTTCCAGACGGTAGAGCCAGAGACTTAGTATCACCATCATATCCAAACCACAGAGGGGGTGTTCCACGCTCCAATTAGTTGCGGAAGTTTTCGCAACCCAATTGATGCCTTGAATGGCAGCTATTTCAATGCATTCAAAGCACTGCTGGATGACCTTGTTCATCTCCTGGGATCGCTTGACTTTCTCGCGTGCGACTGTCATGGCAGCAGCAACTTCGTAAGACGAATGGTAACGGAGGGCTTCCTGTATCGATTTCAAGTCAACTTCAAGTCGAGCACGAGTATTTCGATAAACGGCCATCGAATTGAATATCAGCGGATGGCTCTTTTGCGGGGTACTGAGCGGAACAACGATGGTTTCCGGTTCACACAACTCAAGAGAGCTCTCCCAAGTTTCGATCGCAAGACGTAGCTTGAACTCCGTTACAACATCCTGGAGAGCCTGAAAACTGCGTTTGTGGGACCAGACTTGAAGGAAAAGCGCATTGATCATAACACGAGTGGCAAACGCGCTGTATCTCAGGGATTCGCCACGGAAAAGGCTGTCGTGGGCTTCTCTGACTGTGACAGTAGGCGCAGCTGAGCCCAGGCATCGGCGCCAAGCATCTTCATTCGATATCTCCAGGTTCCACATTGACTCTGACGAAGGAAGTTCCAGTGACTCGATCTCATCAAAGCTAATAGCCGGTGTATGGTTGAATGTAAGCGTCAGCATTCCGAAGAAGATATACACGGCGTAGTAAGTTCGTCGACAGCCCTCATCTTCGATCCATTGCTCACGGGTCGGTCGCGCGCCTTCTCTAGCATCTATGCGAAGCTTCAACTGGTAACGATTACCGGCAACCATCTGGACCAAAGCATTAGCGAAACAACGAATATTAGTAAGGGGAAGGGGGTTAAGGAAATAATAACCTACATTGGCGAGCAGACTCTTGATCGAACAAGTCCATTCTAGGCCCTTCGGGTCACCGCTCCAGCTTTCAAAGATCATATTCAACAGAGTACTTTGCATTGCCCAGAGAGGACATTTTCTTGAATCGAAATTCTCTTTATGTTGAAGGAACTGATTAACAAGGACCTTTGATCCAATATGAAGCATGAAGGCGTGCTCGCGTTCAAAAGTGTACAGGGCCCCAATGGACAGCACTGCGAGAAGTAGCGGTGGCGAAACTTCTGAAGGGGCGAACGATTCCTGATGGAGGAAGGGTATATGGTGGTGATAAAGGTTGAAATACGTCGCCAAATACCGATTCAAAGCGGCCGTTGATGGTAGTTGGAAGGTATCAGGGAGGGAACCAACCGCATCGTTACTCTTAACATGTTCAATAATCGCATCTCGTTCAGCATCGTCCGCAATCTGGGGAGCCTTAGGTAAAGTCAAGGCTTGGCTTGGACCAGGCGATCGACGATAGTTGACTGGAGACAGCGGCCCAGTCATCGAAGGGAATGGGGGAAGAGCGTTTGGCGTCGAATTTCCCGAGACTGGAAGCGAGTTGACCAGTGAATGCAACGCAGGAGTCAGGCTGTCTGCACCCATGCCATGTCTGTCCAGAGACGACCTGTGGTGATGGTTGCGATTGGAGTCTTGAGATGTGAGGCTTGATGATATCGAATGTGACTTGACATCTGGCGTGGACATGAAAGTATCCCATGGCATTTGGGGCAAAGTTGCGTTACCCGACAGATATGCGACGGAAGGCTCGAGAATGACAGCGCGATCGGGGGAATAGGTATCGCGACAGTCACCATCATGGGTTTGGTTGGTAGCTGCCGCAGCGGCCTTGTGTTGGAAGTCTGTCATTAACATCGCAGCAGTTTCAATGTCAACCATACCGTCGCTGCTTGCCTCAATTTGTCCCAGAGCCGCGGGGTCTATTGTGATGGAAGGCTTCGACGGAGTATTTGATGTTGTCGCCGCTTTCTGTCCACCACGTCGACGACCCTCCGTTACAAGCGGGATCCCTCCATCCTTAGCATGGACTGTACGGTCATGTCGAAGGAGCAGGTCCCTTCGAACAAAGGTGCTCCGACATTTTAAGCATTTAAAGGGCCGTTCCTTCGTATCTGAATGCGGCAGACGTTGTCAGCTTTTCTCCTTTGCATTGCGCGAAGGTGAGATGTGGGACAAAAAAGGGTGGTGGGATGATGGAGGGCAAGAGAAAAAAAAAAAAAGCTTTCCCTATCTAGGAACAAAGAACAAATGTTGGGTTTGGGAAGTTCTTCCCCAACACCGTTGTTCCAAAAACAGCAAAAAGAAAGGCAGGAAAAAAGAGGGGGAGGGAAGAGGGAAAAATTAAAAAAAAAATTAAAAATTAAAAAAAAAAAAAATTAAAAAGATAAAAGATAAAGCGAAAGAAAAAGCGCCTGAGAAAAAATACAGAACAATGGAATCTCAAAAGAAAATAATATCCAACGTACGTGATCGTTCATGGCGACTGCGGTGTTCACTTCTGCTGAAAGCGCGATTGCAGAACTGGCACTTGTACTTCTTCTCTGGAGCACCCGTAGATTTCTTCGCGGCCTGATTGCTACTGGAGGCGGTTGGTGCCATGGCTCTTCTCTATTCTCTTTCTCAACAGCGCGTAGGTGACAAGAACACGGCGGCGGGAGACGGGTAGGCAGGCAGGCAGGCAGACAGCAGGTGGATGGGTGGATATTAAAGGCACGACGACGAGGAGAGGATGAGGTCTATCGGCGGTTGCGACCTTTCACACCGTGTCTGCGAGGGGTGGGCTGGTAATAGAGGGGAGGAAGATGAGGATAGGAAACCGATCATTCCTTGGGGTGTGTATCGCGGAAAGGATTCGAAATCGAAGATAGCGAGTGGAATATAACGGCGGGTCTGTTGGCTGAAGGATAGGTAGAGATAATAAATAGATCGAGAACAACAATAAAAATAAAACTAAAAATAAAATGAATAAGGGACGGGGTTCCAGCCACGGACTGATTTGTTCCCGGTTGAGAGAAAGAGAATCAGAAGAAAGAAAATGTAGAGCAAGAATGAGGCTATCTCCCGACTTCCCTTTCTCACTCACACACTCTCTCTTTTTTTTTTTTTTTGTTCTTTTTTTTTTTTTCTTTATTTTCCCTTTTTTTTATTCTTTATTATGTTTTGTTTTCCCAGATGTTTGAAATCGAGAGCAGCAAAGGACACGCAGGAGGATGGGGGGAGAGTGGGTTGATTTGGGGAGGGGGGGAAA